TTCTGTGGCTCTGAGGAGGAAAGCGGTCTGGGAGGAAGGACTGAGACTGTGTGCACAAGAGACCTGTGTGCAGGTAGGGAGCACACCTGATCCCTGAGGGAGCACACCTGATCTCTGAGGGAGTACACTTGATCTCTAAGGAAGTATACAAGATCTCTGAGGGAGCACCAAAGATCCCTGAAGGAGCAACCAGATCTCTGAGGGGCCACACCAGATCCTGGAGGGAGCACCCCAGATCTCTGAGAGAGCACACCAGATCCCAGAGGGAGCACACCAGATCTCTGAGGTTGTGTCCTGGGTCTTATGTGGAGTGCATGGTGGGAGCCATTGGCATTGGAATGGACCACTGGTTAAACTGGGATCAGAGGAGGAACTGGAATCTCCCATTGATTCTCTATTCAGGAAGAGATGAAAGTCCTCCTACCTGAGCTACCTACCTGTACAGACCTCTTGGGAAGAAAGTCACACTGTAAACCCCATCATTAACTTTTCTGAAGGAACAAAACTGTCAACTTGATCAATTGAGTTCTGTGGAAACAAAAAATAGGTTGGAAAAAGATGGCAATTACAAAAATTAAACATTGGTGGCATTGGGATGCAGGAGGACAGTGATCCCCCAGCCACCCTGTTTCCTGTTTCCCTGGCATTTGGAAGTTGGGGATGTTACTATTAAAATGAAAACAGTTTTGTTCTTTATGGAAAGTCGCCTAGTCCAGTCCTCACCTCTGGTAGGAAGCCTCCCCTCCCACAAACATTCCATCACTTCCAATCCACAGGTTCTAAGTGGTTCACACAGACTAACAAGTGGGTGATGGAAGAAAGTGGCATTGGAGGGTGCCTATTAGTGCTAAAGCCTGCATGTGCTGTGTGCAGCACCAAAGGCACAGTGCCCAGCCCAGATGAGAAGAACTGGCTGGCAAGACATCTTACTCCATCTGCGAAACAGCATGGACATGTCCTGTGTTAATAGGCAGTAAGCAGCCCCACAGGGCCAGAGTCTGAGTCTTGACTTGAAAAAGGAATTCAGAATAAGAGAATGAGCTTCTCTTTCAAGTCCATGATCTGATGGAGGCCCTGCCTCCAGCTGTGGAGCACAGGCACATGTATGTACACACACACGGGGGGGGGGGGGACATACAAATACGCAAGATACAGACACACACACAGAGACAGACATACACACACACAAGAAAGACAGAGACAGAGAGACAGACACACAGAGTGACAGTCACACAAGAAAGATACAGACAGACACACACACACACAGAGAGAGAAAAAGAATGAGACAGAGACACAAAGACATATAGATACATACACAAGAGGTACAGACAGACAGATACACAGAGAGAGACAGAGATAGACAGACAGACACACACACACACACAGCTGAAAAGCAGGGGCTGTTGACTGAGGTTTCTGTCCTACCCAATTTCCACAGTCATTAAGTCCCAAATAAATCACACAGAGATCTACATTAATTATAAACTGACTGGCCTATTAGCTCAGGCTTCTTATTAACTCTTATAACTTGTATTAGCCCATAATTCTTAACTGTATTAGCCACGTGGCTTGGTACCTTTTTTGGCAAGGCAGTCACATCTTGTGTCCTCTGTATCTGGGTTGAAACTTCCCTCTTCCCAGAATTCTCGTTGCCCCGCCCCTACTTCCTCCCTGGTCGCCCTGCCTATACTTCCTGCCTGGCTACTGGCCAATCAGCGTTTTATTAAAAATGATACAATGACAGGATGAAAGACGATTGTCCCACAGCAAGGGGCCTGCTGCTTCTCCTGGTTAAGACTCCGAACAATTTTCTCCCGAGAAGGCCAATCCCTGGAACACTGGGATCCCAGGGCTTTCCACTGGGCCATCCCCAGTGCCTCTGAGTCCCAGCCGCTGTCCATCTCAGGTCTTCTTCTCCACCTCCCCAGCCTCAAGGCCCTACCATCCCTTTCCACTGCTTCACTTCTCTTCCCGTTGAGAAAGGTCTCTCTGTCCACGAGCGAGCTTGGGCTGGCAAAGTCAGCCCTCCTCACATAAAAGACCCAGTGAGTCCCAGAGAGGCTTGGAGCCCAGACAGAATGGAATTTCTCCCTATTTTCTTTACAACTGAGAAAACACACACAAACACAAGAGCATATTTATTGCGATATTTCTATCCCAAAGTTTTTAAGAAGAAATAAAATTAGTTTTGCTGCCCACTCTGCACCGACTCCCTCCCTCCCTCCCCCTCCCCTCTTCATTCCTTCACATTTCCTGGTCTAAGCCAGGGAGAAAAACAGAGCAAGCCCAAGTCCCACAGACCACTGCATACCAGACAATGTCCGGCTTGTTCAGGGAGCAAACGAAGAAACACAACTCCGAAACATACACAAAACTTCTAAGTGAAGGGCGCTGTGAGGGAGGAACAGGCTAGCTTTGTGTCTGGGTCTACAAACACACCTCAGGCCGATCTTCCTTGACCCCCCAGGAAACCATTTCTCAGCCCTGACTGGTCGACTGACCTTGAACAAGAGCCCCCTCTCCACCTCAGTGTCCCCTCCAAGTACCCGACACATGGTATGAGAGGTTCTTTTAAAGTTAGCATCTAAGTCAGAAAATCCCTAAGGAGAAGCAAGCGACCATTTCTCAGAACGATGGAACTTTCCAGGCTTTCTACAGAACGGGGTTGCCTCTAAGCCCTCAGCCACACAGGAGGGCCTTTCACTTCTCAGGTGATAGATACGTAGGGCATGGGTAGATGATGAATGGTCGAAAAAAAAAATGCCAAACTCTACAACAAGAAAGGATTACCTTGTCCTGGGCCCAGACTGTCCCTCCCCGGGCAGTTCTTAATGGGAATGCCAGTGTCTCCCCTGCCAGCATCCTCTGAGCTCCCCAGATCCCTGCGCTTGCCTAGCCCAGCCTGCGGTAACTAAGCAGAGGGTGACACCTGCTGGACCATCAGACTCTGAGAGAACTGAGACTGAGGTGTGGAGGCCAGGGGTCCTGCTTCCACTGAGGAAGCTCTGTGTGCACCGCCCCATCCCCAAGTCTTCCTTTCTTCTTCTTAGACCACAAGTAAATGCTGATGCCCCTGATCATGGGGCATGGAGCCACACAGTGCAAGTCTCAGGTGTGTGTGACATGGCTGTGCACCCTCCAGGGCAGCGGTACCGTGAGACCCAGACTGTTTCTACATGCAGCTGGCTGAAGACCAGTGCTCCAGCTGGTGGCTTGATAAAGTCGCTTATGCTTGCTGGCTGGAGTTGGGGGTCCCTGCGGTGCAGCGGAAACCCTCAAGTGGTGGTTGCAGCCAATCTGTGTCCATAAATGACAGTCAGGAAAGCTCCACTTTCCGATGCGTATGGCAGACGCTGCGTTTGATCCAGAAGAGGGCCTTCCTGGTGTGAGTTACTCATGTCGCAGCCTGTTAAGGGGTGCCATCCTCATTCTAGCCGGGGCCTTGAATCTTGCGATTAGGGCCTGAAATCACACGATCCTTGCTAAAATACACAAAGTTCCTGAATTTGAAGTGGGTGGCACAACCAGATTGCATCAGGGAAGCTGCATGGTTTGTCCTTGCTCTGCATCTGAAGGGTTGTATTAGGGTTCCCTTCCTTTCTTTCTCTCCCTCCCCTTCACTTCCCCTCCCTCCTCTCCTTCTCTCCCTATCTCTTCCTCCACCCATCTTCGTTCCTCCCTCCTCCCTCCCTTCTTTCTCCTCCCTTTCAGGTGTCCTTAGTGTGCTTGAGCATATCTGGGCGATAGAGTTCACTCATTCATCATGGCTGTGGTTGTGTGTGCATGTGTGTATGTGTGAGTCACTAGGTCTCGAGCATACTAAAAAAAAAAAAAACCACTTGAGCACTGAACCAATCCTAGCCATTTACATGGCCTCTTGATGCAATTAAGATACACAGTAAATGCCAAGTGTCCAAGGCTGCTTAGTGAGTCCATGGTGGACTGCTTTAATTATATGTTTTTGTAGGTAGTAATACTTACAAAGTAATAACACATGTATAACATAGGAAAGACATTGTAACCGTCATTTATTGCCGTTGCCAAGTATTGCATGCCATATACATAATTATTTTCCCATACTTTCGTATGATTGGCATGTGATAAATTTGCTTGCACCAGCATCATTACAAACAGTTGAGAACTGTGCTGCATGGGACTGTGCCATGTCACTAGGCAAGAGGGAGCTTTCACCTCCTTGATAAACTTATTGTTATATATGTGTTCCACCATTGACCAAATTGTTTTTATATGCCATTTCATTTTCAGCAGAAGACATTCCCTTGCATGACTGTGTGTCGGGGTGCAGGGAGAGAGAGAGAGAGAGAGAGAGAGAGAGAGAGAGAGAGAGAGAGAAGAGAGAGAGAGAGAGAGAGAATAAGGATTATGTAAGTGGAGGTTGCATCCGCAGAGCTGCAGAGAGACTGACTAGCAAGGAGGCCAGAGGGAAGCTATCTGCTCCTCTTCAGTTTGAGGTGCCACATGTTCTAAGCCCCAGAAAAGGCTCGTTCTTCAGGTCAAGTCCAAAGGGAGGAAAAAACAGCTGGAAGGCCATCAGGGATGAGGTCTCTCTCCCTCAGGAAAGGGTCCTTTTTTGTTCGGGTCTTCAGGTGGTTGGCTGTGACCCATCCACACTGCAGAGGGGAGGGTTACAAATTCCAGTTTTTGTCTGATGCAAAACCCCTAGCAGACACTTGAGAACGGTGTGTAAACCTGAGCATCTATGGATGACCGGGCCCCTATCAATAGCTATCACAGGAATTCCTTAGGATGAGTCTCCACTAGATAGAAGATGGGGAGATCAATGGACCAGCCACCTTGGAATTAGGCTAAGAAAGGCTTGACGGTCTCTGAGGAAAGGATTCTCAGAGGAAGCACCACGTAAACATTGCAACCTCCTGTTGTGTGGTATTTCAAAGCCTTGGGTGTGAATTCTATCACGTTATCTCTTCCACCTCGCTGTGCCGTAACTGTCCAAATAACACCTCTGCTACCTCTTCCAGGTGAACTATGACCACTTTACTACTGGTCTTTGTGACTCTGAGGGTCATCACTGCAGTGAGCTCAGAAGAAGTTCCAGGTGAGAACAATTCCACACATGGCTGCTTTATACAGTAGTGGGCAAGTGCTGGGTTCTGAGTTCAGGACACAACTTTGTTCTGGGACACAGCCCCCTCTCCCCATTCTTTTGGCCTTTTCCTGGCCCTGCCCCTTTCTAGCTGCAGTAGGAAGGCACTCACACATGTGCCCATAACCCCAGAGCCTGGTGCACAAGCATCTACTCCTGGATGCCCTCTAGCAAGGGCATCCACTTTCTGGGCCTCCTTCATAGCACCCTCTCCTTGGGGATCTCATTCAGTGAGAACGGGGCAGAGAAGACATGGAAAGTCAACAGTAAAGGCTGCCAGGGAGCATGGGTTGGAGCGTGAAAGAGGAGGAAAGAGCCTGAGGAACAGAGGTGAAAGGACTGGTCTTCCCTCCAGAAGAGAGGTCACAGCCCTTGTGTTATCCCCAAAGTTTTAGAGTTTTGCATTGGGATACAATGTGTTGGTGGGAGAAAGAGGGTCCAAGTCTCCTCTTGTCCCCCACCCCCGCCTCTGTGAGGGAGGTCTCACAACCATGTTTAGCCCTGGAATCCCAGATCTCCACACCAGGTGCCCTCTCTTATTGGCCTGATTCACAGCTTTTGAATGTGTAGATGTAGTAGTAGTAGTTAGACCTCCACTGGTGCTCAGGGACCTTTGAATATCCAGGTTCTGGCCATCACCTGGGGAGAGAGATGTGTTCACATCAGTCAAAACAGCCCCCTGAGAGCTTGATTGCTGGGGGATAATGTCACTTGTATTAGTTTAATAAAACACTGATGCTAGTAGCCAGGCAGGAAGTATAGGCGGGATGACCAGACTAAGAATTCTGGGAAGAGGAAAGGCAAAGATGCAGTCACCAGCCAGATGCAGAGCAAGCAAGATGAGACTGCCTAAATGGCTAAACATAGATAAGAATTATGGGTTAATTTAATTTGTAAGAGCTAGTTAGTAATAAGCCTGAGCAATAGGCCAAATAGTTTATAATTAATGTAAGTCTCTGTGTACTTCTTTGGGACTGAATGGCTGTGAGATCGGGCAGAAGAGAAACTTCTGTCCACACTTAATAACCAGTGAGTTGGCCTCAACAGTGGCCTCTAGCTATTCCGAGACCACCACTGCAGAACCAAGCTGTGGCCAGCGGCATCAGGACTGGGCAGCAGATGGAGGTGTTTGTGGAAGGATGGTGGAGTCTGTCCAGACATCAAAAGATCCAGGCTGGACTCCAGACATTCCTGCCCTCTGCCCATCCTTACCCTGCTATGTATCCACCAGCCACATCCATCTGAAACATTTTTCTTTTGACCCATAGTGTCTCCTGAAAGAAAGGTTCTGTAAATTTAAGACCTCCCATGAAAGGTGCTGTGTGGAAGGCTGTTTCTCTCCCATCCCAACAAGGATTCCGGAAACACGTCTTCTCTACTGACACACTCCATAATTTTTATGTTGTCCACTCCTACCCAGTCATGTCTCCAGATCTGACTCTACAGATAAAAAAAATGTCTGACCTCCTGTTCTTCCCCCATCTCCTCGCCCTTTACCTCAAAAGCCTTGTCGTCCCACAAGGTCCAGCTAACATCCAAGGCAGACCTCCCAGGATGGGATGAATATGCCTTTGAAGTTCAGTGTCTCAACTTCAAAGGTTGTGTAGAATTTTCTATACCCCCTGATAATCATTGCACCTGGTGTGTTGGATGGTCCCTGCCTCTATGAGAAAATGTCTCAGGGAAATAGCTTGCTTGTGGCAAGGCAGAAACATCACACCTGAAGGCACAGTGGAGGAGAGCAGTTCCCCTCCTGGCAGCCTGGAAGCAGAGAGACAGACAGACAGGGAAGGCAGATGGACAGGCAGACAGAGACACAGAGACAAAGAGACATACGGAGAGACAGGGGGTGGACAGTGATCTATTTCCCTTCAGTGAGGTCCCACATACCAGTTCAGCTCTGAACTGAACAATGGATGAATCCATTGATGAGGCTAGCATCCTCATGATCCAATCACCTCTCAATAACACTGCCAATTTTCCCACACATGAACCTTTTGTGGGGAGCTCATCATATCCAAAATAAATACCCCAATATATTTTTTCTCAAATCTCTGAATCAAACATGAAACTACCCTAAGAATAGGAGTCCTGTTTATCTATGGTTTGGCAACCCCTAGGTGTCCATAGTTTGAGGTCTTGGCTGTGCTGTCTCTCCCATGTTCCTCTGGAACCCTTTTCCGGCTCTAAGGTTTGTCTTAGGCACAGAGACTTGAGGGATGCTGACCTGAAGGGGATTCCCAGGGAACTTCACGGTGGGCGGGATTTGGACTTCTCACGTGGCTGTGTCTCCAGGACTGTCTGGGTGGCTTGTGGTCTCTATTATCCTAATGTTTTTATTTGTCCTCCCCCCACCCTTTCCCCACAGACCATGACAACTCACTGAGCGTGAGCATCCCTCAACCGTCCCCCCTGAAGGTCCTCCTCGGGACTTCCCTCACCATCCCCTGCTACTTCATCGACCCCATGCATCCTGTGACCACTGCCCCCTCCACTGCCCCCCTCGCCCCAAGAATCAAGTGGAGCCGTGTTTCCAAGGAGAAAGAAGTCGTGCTGTTAGTGGCCACTGAAGGACAGGTTCGAGTCAACAGCATGTACCAAGACAAGGTGTCATTACCCAACTATCCAGCCATCCCCAGTGACGCCACCTTGGAAATCCAGAACCTTCGCTCCAATGACTCGGGAATCTATCGCTGCGAAGTGATGCATGGCATTGAGGACAGCGAAGCCACCCTAGAGGTCATAGTAAAAGGTAAAGGCCTCCCATGGGAATGCCATGATGTCCTCATTAGGGTGGACCTGGATGGCTAGCTTTCCCACTCAGCCCCTCTGCATACCCATTTTATGCTTGGCTTCCTCTAGTGTAGAGCTGGCAATGCTATGCTCTGTGGGATCAGGATGTTGAAGGCAGGGCACATAAATACATCCTGGCATAGGCAGCTGGTGCTTGCAACTATCCTTGATTTGTTGGGTGCTTTTCTTGTTCTTGTGGTCGAATGCCCGAGAGGCATCAACTTGGGGGAGTAAGGAATTGCTTTGGCTCTCGGTTTGAGGGGATACAGTCCACCACGGTGGGGACAACACAGCAGTGGGACTATGAAGCAGCTGACCATACTGCATCAACACACAAGAAGCAGAAAGCGGAATCCACAGAGCTGAGCTCAGAACCTCCCTTTCTCTGTTTTCTGTTTCCTCTTGACCTGCAGTCAAGGTGCATCTTCCCTCTTCAGTTAAAGGCCCACAGGCATACACAGAGGGGTGCGTCCTACATCACAGAGGGCCTTGTAAGAGTGCACACTCTGCACCTGAGCCAATGAGTCAAACGGTGTATCTGATCTGAACCTAGAAACGAATGAAAGCGGCTTCCTAACCTACCATCCAGGCATCTCCTCCTCCTCCACAATCCCTTTATCCTCAGCTTCAGGGGCCAAAGAAGTGGCTGAGCCCTCACTCCCTGATCACCCTTCTCTCAAAGAGAACCCATTAGGATGTCCCTGACTACTGGAGACATGGAACCCTTGGTGTCTCCTTCCCCAGGAGGGGAAAAATAAAGGGTCCTGGAATGATTAAAAAAAAAATCTCAAGGAGACAGTTTTTTGCCTTAGCTCAAAGAACTTTCATATTGTCCGAATTATTATGGGTGTTCTAAAAAAAAATGCCTTGTGAGGAGGTGCTGAGCACCCTGTTAAGGCCGTGGGGTGGGGTGGGATGGGGTGGGGCAGGGTGGAGAGGAGAAAGGGTTGCAGCAAGAGCAGAAGAACCATGTACAACTTCAGGAGCTGAGGAGCTATTTGCAGATGATGGTTTTGGTGGAAGGGAGAGCCAGTTTTCTTTAGTACAGTCCCTGGTAGGTTGACCACACTCCAGGAGATGGCCCCACACCCATGAGTATACAGGCAACACAAGTTGAACTCAATGTGGGGTGGATGGAATATTGGGGTGGAGCTGGAAGGAGTTAGGAAGAGGATTTGGGGGTAAATATAATCAAAAGACATTATTTGCACGTGTGAAATTCTCAAAGAGTCAATAAAATATTATAGTAAAAAAGTCAGAGAAGGAAACCATGTCAGCCTGAACCAGAGAGTGTCCAGGGTCCCTTGGTTCTTGCCACCATTTCTCCAGAACTTCAACAGAAGTCACACCTAACCAGCCCCTCCGGTCTGTGGGTCCCACAGGCATTGTATTCCACTACAGAGCCATCTCCACGCGCTATACGCTGGACTTTGACAGAGCTCAGCGGGCTTGCCTGCAGAACAGTGCCATCATCGCCACCCCTGAGCAACTGCAGGCCGCCTACGAAGATGGCTTCCACCAGTGCGATGCAGGCTGGCTGGCTGACCAGACCGTCAGGTGAGACCCCAACCCGCTAAAGAAGAATGCATCAGAGCTGAGGTCCCAGTATAGCTGGGGAGATGGCTCAGAGGTTAAGAGCACTGGCTGCTCTTCCAGAGGTCCTGAGTTCAATTCCCAGCAACCACATGGTGGCTCACAACCATCTGTAATGAGATCTGGTGCCCTCTTCCTGACTGTAAGCATCCAAGCAGATAGAATAGTGTATACATAATAAATAAATCTTTAAAAAAAAAAAAAGAGGCCTAGCCAATGGGGCAGGCGATGAGTGATACTTAGCTGATGTGAACATGACCCTGTGGCCAGTCTAGGTTAGGGATCAGGGTCCAGCCTTGTCAACATCCCAGGTCACCCTTATTCTCTTCCAGGACAAATAATGCCACTACTTCACTACTCTCTAGCCTGTTTTCCCTATTGTCAATGTTTCTTTCCTTCTGGTTTGTTAGTCTTTAACCTTAGCGTTTTGTTTATTTTAGTATATGACCTTATTTATATCCTTTTTTTGTAAGACAAGACCTACATAAATCAATCATAAAGATGTATCTTTTTCTGAGTGAGTCCTGGGAGCCTGATGGCAAAGCAGTGTAGATAGAAGCCTGCTTCGAGGATCCCAGTGCAGTGTTCCGAGCCTGCAAAGACAGACTCCATGTGCATCACAGTGATAGCCCCAAAGCCAGAATACAAGGCCTCAGGAAGACAGCTTTGCAAGCTTGGGCAAGCCAAGGGATCATAGGTCACAAGGCCATACAGCATGATCATGTTGTTGAGCTGGGACACTCTGATCAAAGCAACTTGGGAAGGGAAAGGTCCATTTCAGCTTGTTCCAGGTCCCAATCCATCACGGAGGTAAATGAGGGCAAGAGCCCTGGGCCTGGGAGGAAGGAGCCATGGAGGGATGTTGCTTGAGGCTCATGGGCTCATTGTCTGGATCACCCACAGGCAGGCTCAGTTTGTTTTCTTATCCATCACAGGCTCGCCTGTCCAGGCTGGGCCCTCCCACATTGATCATAAACCAAGACAACCCATCACAGACGTGACCACAGGCTAATCTAGGCAATCCCTCAGCTGAGACTTCTCCAAATGGCTCTAGACTGTGTCAAGTGGATGGCTGGAGCTAACTGGGACAAACCACAAAAATCAGTAAATAAATTAAAAAAAAATAAGTGAGACAACAGTCTTATGTCAAGAGTTCACATGCTGACCTCAGAAGGAGCCAGACTCAAATCCAAACACTGGGATTTGGAAGTTGTGTGACTTTGAACGAGTCAATTAACATTTCTGGACCTTAGTTTAAGTGTAAAATAGAGCCCATCCCCTGCCTCCCTTGGGTACAAATAGGCACCATGGCCAAACCCAACCCAACTCATCCTTCATTTCTGTAAATGAAGTTGTGTTGAAATATAGCCACGCCCCCTTGGTTACCTGCTGTCTGTGGCTGCTCCTTGCTGTGGCAGTGAAAGCGGTCCCCACAGAGGTTTCTAGTTTACAAAATCCACAAGACTCTGGCCTTTTCCATGAAAAGCATCTGCTCCCGGAGAGAGTGTGTTTGGGACCAAGAATATGCGGTAACAGAGGCTGCCTTAGCTGGTGAGTAGCACTGGGACCTGGAGAGGCAGTTGGTGCTCAGAGCAGACTTGGACTCTAGAGGTATTACTATGCCTTTGTTTCCTCCTATGAAGGTGAAGGCTACAAGAACAGGGAGCCTGGGCTTCCTCTAGTTCCCAGCTTCACACTCCTGTGTTGACTTCCCAACAGGTACCCCATCCACACTCCTCGGGAAGGTTGCTATGGAGACAAGGATGAGTTTCCCGGAGTGAGAACCTACGGAATCCGAGACACCAATGAGACCTACGATGTGTACTGCTTCGCGGAGGAGATGGAGGGTGAGGCTCCCTTCAAGACGCTTTCCCTTCCCCACCACCGTGCTCACATTTGGGATAGCTACACCATGCCTTGCTCAGTCCTCTCCTGCCATAAAGAGGGATGGGCTCTGGATGTAATCCTCACTCTCCACTTTGGAGGGGGTCTTGATGGCCACAGGCACCTGCAAACCATCTGGTGTTCCCACCAAACCCCAAGTTCCAAAGCCCCCTGGACTGTCTCTCTTATCCAGAACCTCGGTATCTCTGGCCAACCCACCACGTCTTAAGGTCCGTCCATTGTGCCATCCAAGCCAGGATCACGTCTGGCGTGTAGCCCAGACTCTGAGTTCCATTCCCCACTCAAGAGGGACATCCTAAGCCACTCTAGGGTGGACACCACAGACACAGTTTCCCAGGAAACGTGTTCCCCGGTCACTCTCTCTCCACTTCCCTGCTTCCATCTTGAAATCCCACGTCAGGCCTTTGGATGGGATGTTTGAGGAGCTAGCATTTGTGCCCCCAGTTTTGACTAACCCACGATGAATACAAGAGCTTGTCTGAACTGCCCCTGAACAAGGAGATCTGGAACCAAGGCATGATCAGATTACCCACCCACCCCCATCCTTAATCGCAACCTTGGCAGGTTCTAGAAAATATTGTTTAAAAGCTAACAGACCTAAAATTAGCCCATAATGGCCTCTTTGGGTACTATAAACCCTGGTTTGGAAGTCAATACTCTAAGGGGTCAAAGGTGACCTGATTTTCTAACCAGAATTTGAATTCGGCAGTGCCTGTGTTAAAGGAAAGCTCCCCTAGTGGTGGGAAGATGAACAGCAATTACCAGCCACAGGGGGCTCTGATTTCATGGTTGCTCCACCCCTTGGCAGCTTTTCTATTCCGGAGAGGAGGTCCTTGTTAGGAGATTGATGCCATCCTACACAAAAAGTCCAGAAAGGAATGGAGACTGGGGAGTGACAGACAAGCTGGGAGATACTAACGTGGGACCACGGGGGGGGGGGGGGGGGGGGGGGGGGAGGATAAACGTCCGAGAAACCGTGGACCTCTTGGGGACACAGGCAGGGTGGGATGGGAGTGAAAGCCTCACCCGGTATGATGTGTCCTTCACAGGCGAGGTCTTTTATGCCACCTCTCCGGAGAAGTTCACCTTCCAGGAGGCAGCCAATGAGTGCCGGAGACTAGGGGCACGACTGGCCACCACGGGCCAACTCTACCTGGCCTGGCAGGGCGGGATGGACATGTGCAGCGCCGGCTGGCTGGCCGACCGCAGCGTGCGCTACCCCATCTCCAAGGCTCGGCCCAACTGCGGCGGCAACCTCCTGGGTGTGAGGACGGTCTATCTGCATGCCAACCAAACAGGCTATCCTGATCCCTCATCCCGCTATGACGCCATCTGTTACACAGGTGGGGCTGGGGCTGAAGGTGGGGGGGGGGGGAGGACGTGTCATCAAAATCAGGTCCCAATAAGATCTGGGGAAGGTACCACTGAGTTTCTGAGCCCCGCATTTTTATCATCTCCTTCCGTTTGGGCTGGTCCCTTCCTTTTTAATCTGGATGCACCTTAAAAAAAAAAAAAAAAAAGTGTTTCTGTAAAGGGTAGGGGCAAGTTCCATAACTTCATTTGGAAAAATTAGAACAAAGATTTTAAGTAAGTTTTATCTCCTATTTAGCACACTTTAAGTTACAATTAATTCCTAATTCTTGGAGGAAAAAAATGAACAGCATAAATTAGGTAAATGTATTGCATACATTTTACTATCCACTTGGCGACAATACAGTGACAGCTCATTCCATGCTTCTACAGCCTGATCTGTCGCGACGAGGGCCACCCTCGCTTCACTTTTTGATTGTCTCACCACTGAAGAATGAAGTATCACCCTCATGGACATTCTCTTTATTAATAGCTACCTTCTGTCTGCCAGGCCCTGATTTGTCCAGGACTCTGAGGCAGGCACTTCTGCAATGCCTGCCTCGATTGTGCAACTCACCTCTGCAAGATTCAGGATTTCCCTTGTCACCAATTCCTATCATCCCATTGGACACCCAGGGGGCAAAGTGGCTGCTGGGGGAGAGATAGAAATCGGAATTGGTTTTATTTGATCAGCAGTGAGCTGGTTGATCAATATATCATGAGTATCTTAGTGCTTCTACAGATTCAGCCAACCTCAGGCTTTTATTGATAATTAAACTGCATCTATACTGAATATGTGCAGAATTTTTCTTGCCATTGCTCCCCAAACAATACATATAACAGTTACTGAAACATCACTTATGCTGTATGAGGACTTAGAAGCAACCAAAAGAGGACATAAGATTCCAGCAGTGGTACATAGGTTATATATGGGACTCTAGCGTTCGAAGAGTTTGGCATCTTTGGGAGTTCTGGAACCACCCTGATGATATGAAGGAGCCATGAACCTTTGTTCAGTCTTTGTGGTAGGCAGGACCAAGTGCCCGGCTCCAGCTGAGGAGGGGGACGTCGGGTACGTTCAGCTCTCGTTTCTTCGAAATAGCCCCAAGCTCATCACTAAAGCTCGTCTTTGCATCCTGTCCCAGGTGAAGACTTTGTGGACATCCCAGAAAACTTCTTCGGGGTGGGTGGTGAAGATGACATCACCATCCAGACGGTGACCTGGCCAGACCTGGAGCTGCCCCTGCCCAGAAACATCACGGAGGGAGAAGCCCGGGGCACTGTGATCCTCACTGTGAAGCCCATCTTCGACGTGCCCCCCACTATCTCAGAGCCAGAGGAGGCCCTTACCCTTGTCCCTGATGTGAGGGCCACAGCCTTCCCCGGGGTTGGGGAGAGAACTGAGGAAGCCAGCAGGCCCTGGGGCTTTCCTGAGGAAACCACGCCTGGGCTGGGCTCTGGCACGGCCTTCACCAGTGAGGACCTGGTGGTGCAAGTGACCCTCGCCCCAGGCGCAGCTGAAGTCCCTGGCCAGCCCCGCTTGCCAGGAGGTAAGTACGCTTCTGGGGGACAAGCCAGGCAGTTATGTCCGCTCTTGGAACCACAAATGATTGACTCAGTCACCTGTGGAAACCAAAGTGTATATCGAGGCAGATGCCAGCGCCACCTGGTTCAAAACAAAACAGACCCACGTGAAAAATGCTGCTCTGGGTGACCCCACCTCACCTGCCCTTGTCTTCCCACCAGGATAAAAAGCAACAAAAGTTTAGTGGGCAGGCTGAAGGCTGCTGCTCCTAGGTAGCCTATGAACGAAGAATGCCTCTCCGTTCCTAAATAATCGAGGAAGGGGAGTCAAAAGGAGAAAGATAGTTTTTGATACATGAAAATTATGTAAGTTTCCAGTTTCAGTGTTCACAAAGAAAGGATGGTTAGATCAAAGCCATATCCGCGTGTTTAAGACTTGGTCTATGGCTAATTCAGGACAATTGTGGCTGAGTTGAGCAACTGTAGCAGAAATCGCATGGCTCACAAAGCCTGTTCTAGAGACCAAGGATGCTAGTACACATCTGTAATCTCAGCACCAGAAGAGTTGTGAGTTCAAGGTCAGTCTGGTTCATATAGCGAGACTATCTCAAGAAGAAGAAGAAAAGCCTGATGTCATTATCTGGTTCTTTCTGGGAAGCACTCATGCCCCTTGGGCTAGGCAGATGGTGTTCTCTGTGCTCAGGAAATATCTTAGGGGACAGGGATGTCCCTCAGCACAGCCCCTGAATGCAAACCTACAAATAGGAAGAGCATTCTGGTGTAGCCTTCCTAAAGGGTCTTGATGGTGTCCCCTACCTGAGACAGACAGATGGACACTGCCATCTACTCATGACACCACCCAGTGGAACTTCAGGTGGAATTGCCCGGATCGATCCATTTTGCCCAAATGGAGAAGCCAAGCCAAGAACAGACCCCACAAGCATCAATCTTACCTCTGTTTCTTTCTCTCCTCTCCTCGCCACCCAGGGGTTGTATTCCACTATCGCCCGGGCTCCACCAGGTACTCCCTGACATTCGAGGAGGCACAGCAGGCTTGCCTGCGCACTGGGGCCGTCATGGCCTCACCGGAGCAGCTCCAGGCTGCCTACGAGGCAGGCTATGAGCAGTGTGATGCCGGTTGGCTGCAGGACCAGACCGTCAGGTAAAGGACAAGTCTACCATTCCCAACCCCAACCAAGAGGCCCCCAGCCAGACATAACACCCAGTGCTTTGTGGCTTCGTCAAGTCACTAGGGACTGTAGAGTTTCCTAAATTCTGCACACGCCCCTAAACCAAGACACTTTCTGGAAGATGGTGGCAGAGACTGTGCTTATGCCACGTCTTAGTCATTTCTCTTCAAGAGACAGACAGAAGAGGCCCCCAGGGACCCCCTTCCTTCTCCCCCACACCCAGCAGCTTGACAGAGTGCCTCTTCTGTAAGGGATTCTCTTCCGAAGTCCTCCAGATGTGAAAGAAACTCGACACACAAATATGACCCAAGATGTGCCTTTCCTAGCCTCAGGACGGGCCCTCACCCCCTTCCCATCCTCTTTCACAGATACCCCATTGTGAGCCCACGGACCCCATGTGTGGGTGACAAGGACAGCAGCCCCGGAGTCAGGACCTACGGCACACGGCCGTCATCAGAAACCTATGATGTCTACTGCTACGTGGACAAGCTTGAGGGTACAGGCCACATTACCACATTTGCATTGGCAGAGAAGCAGGGCCTAGGGAAGAGTCACAAAAGATGGGTAGAATTGTCACCACCCACCCAGGCCTGCCCCCCCCCACAGCTTTCCAGGTGGAAAAGAGGCCCAGCCCTCTCCTCTCTCAATTCAAGTGCTGTCTCCCCACCAAAGGCTCATGTCTTCTCCCTGCCATGTTGTAGCATGACTAAATTGATTGATTTCTAATAAACAGATGTTAGACACACCCTCTGTATTATAGAGTCCCAATGCCCATGAACTCAGAGGCTATGAGAAGCCCTGTAACCCCAGATCCCTTTAACTCTAACTCAGCATTGCCCAAGCTTGTTCAACCACACACCTCCATGAATGTCACCAACACACAGAACCCAAATGGAAACCTGACCGCATTCTAGAAAAGTTTAAACATGGCCACTCAGCCTCTGTAAGTCTTGGCTCCCCCATCTGTATACCACGGCCGCTGTAGACCCACATTTGAGGGTTTTCTGAGTGTGAACTGAGACATATAACCAGAATCTGGTACAAACAAAGGCTGGGTAGATGCGAGCTCCCTGAGCCAGGTAGGGTCTTGGCTGATGTGTGGGTGCCGAGACCCCAGAGGAATGCGAGTTAGGTCTGTAGTGGTCACTGGGCTATTGAGGGATCAGGGAGCTAAGTGTGCTTGGGGGTTTGGGTAGGCAGCTGAGTCTTCTCTATCAGTCAAGGGAAGGGTGCCTAGGACTAGAGCACCTAAATAAGAAGGGGTAGAAGCCAGTTCCCTGTAGACTGGCTAGCTCAGCTCAGCTCAGCTCAGCTCAACTCTGACTGACTGTTTTAGCAAGAGATGTCCCAAGTCCCAGAAAAATCCCACTCAGTACAAAGTGGAGCCCCTGGTCTCTATTGTCCAGGATTCCAAGGGATCTAAAGGGTGTAGAGCCTTGGGGGTGTGCCTGAGTGGGGATCTATAGGAGTGTGTGTCCCATAGGTGGGTGAGCTGCCCCAGTGAGTAGGGTAGGGAGCCGGGAGTTCTGCTCCAAGGCCGTGGGAACAGAACTTTTCTGAAGACACACATGAACCATCACGCTGCCGTTGTCTCTGTCCCCAGGGGAAGTCTTCTTCATCACACGCCTTGAGCAGTTCACCTTCCAGGAAGCGCAGGCCTTCTGTGAAGCCCAAAATGCCACCTTGGCCTCCACCGGCCAGCTCTATGCTGCCTGGAGCCACGGCCTGGACAAGTGCTATGCTGGCTGGCTGGCAGATGGCAGCCTCCGATACCCCATAGTCACCCCTCGGCCTGCCTGTGGTGGGGACAAACCAGGCGTGAGAACTGTCTACCTCTACCCCAACCAGACCGGCCTTCCAGACCCGTTGTCTAGGCACCATGCCTTCTGCTTCCGAGGTACCATAGTCACCCCTATCTGCCTGGGAGGGGGGCTTCCTTACTCCTTCCTCTATAAATAGTAACAAAATGGTCTCTACTTCAAAGGAAGTTGCATACAAATACAAATGCTAATTGGAGTAGTATAAGTGAAACACTCCAAATGTGTTTATGCATAATGTTACATATTGTTTTAATTTGCATATTCTTGTCCAATTCTCTTCTCGTAAATGTTTTTGTAATGAGTTTAATCAAATAATCCTGGTGTCCTTTGTCAGACTCCAGCCACCTATACACTTAATTGACGCACACTGTGTAGGCACTACCAGTATAGCATCAGCCATTGCCACGCACCGCGCCCCCGTGTCTGCGCTCGGTGCGCTAGCACCCAGTTCATGAGCTTCGGGCAAGGGGGCTGGAGGTTAAAATACACAAACACACACAGACAGAGAGACAGCGACATGGGTCATCCTTGAATTCCCCAAGAATGCCCCCTTTATTGTGTTCAGGGGCAGATTATATAGAGATAGCCACGTCCCAGCCAAACCCACCAGAAACCACTCTCCTGCCATCAGGAACTCCTGAAGGTCTCGTGCTCAGAGCAGCTGTAGGCACTCAGATCAGGGGAAAACAAGTTGTTTACAAGAAATTCAGGATCTGGGGTCTCACTGCTTCCAACAACCCATCATTACCAGTTAGACGCCTGAGAATGATATGCTGGGCTCTGATTGGTTGAAGTCTCATAGCATCTATATAGGGTAATGATGAACCCACCAGAATGGAGATTGCAGACCACCCGTTTTCGACATGGTCCATCAAAGCTGAGTGTCCTTGCGACTTCTTGTGAATCCAGAATTATCTTAGATTTGAAGATGTATTTTTTTATCATTTTTGATTGTGTATGGGGAGTGGGTATATGCACAGAGGAGGAGTTCAGACAGCTGGGAGCTGCTGCCATGGCTGCTGGGATCCAAACTCAGGTCCTCTGCAAACGGAACACACATTCGTAATCACTGAGCCATCTCGTCAGTCTTATAGAACTGTTTGTAGCTAAAGGGATAAAACTGATGGCTTCCAGCTTTCCCAGGCTTCTAGGGACACCTTGTAACTTTTAAAAAGGGTCTCATTGTTGCCTGCCTCAACTTCCTGTTGCCATTGTCCTGGACTAGGTCTTTACAGTGGGCCACAGAGGTCAACCAGCAACCACTCCCAGTCAGTTTCTAACTGTAACTCCCACCACCCACTCCAAACCTTCAGGGGACTCAAAGGGTTTTTTTTTGTTTGTTTATTTGTCTGTTTATTTTAAGACAGGGTCTCATTAAGCTGCCTTGGCTGGCCTGGAATTTGCTCCGTAGACTAGGCTGGCCTTGAACTCATGGAGATCTGCCTGCCTCTGCCCCCCAAGTGCTGAGATTAAAGGCACATGCCACCATGTCTGGCTTTAAACCTCTCTTTACCCTGTAGAGAAGTTCTGGTTCCTTCCTGGCCCCCTCCAGGTTGGAGACTTCTCCCCAATCAGAAGTTAACCCTTATCGATGAATCCTGCCATCACCCTGCCCACCGCAAATGCAATGATAGCTGTGTGGCATTTAAAGATGAGCCCCCTGTTCATCAGGAACTGGCACACTCCGAGGCTAGCTTCGAGGTGGGCGGTACCGTGTTAGATCTTGAACGGGAAGATTGACCCTAGTACTTCTAAGCCATTAACCTTGGGCGAGTCACATGACAAGTCCCCACCTGTTAGTTGAATCTCATCTTTATTAAGGTAAAATCTGTTTTAAAAGTAAAGGTTTTTATTTAGGTCCAGCATATACAATAGACTGGAGAGAGACATCCCAGACCACTCTGTCCTAACCTCTTGGGGACAGAGGATATGCGGTGACACTAGATACAAATCACAAACTGCTGTCTTGCTGATTCCCAGGTTGCAGTGGGTCAGCAAGGCTCTTGTACTGGCCAGGTTTACCTCAGGGCTGTCCTTGCTTCTCTGTTCCTGAAGGGCCTAGTAGGAATGAACTCCTGTCAAAGGCAGGCATTCACCTCCCACATCTCCTTCAGGTGTGTCCGTGGTGCCCTCTCCAGGAAGAGGAGAAGGTGGCATGCCCACATCACCCTCTGACGTAGAGGACCGGATCGTCACTCGGGTGGGGCCGGCCGTGAATGCTGTGCCTCTGGGGTCGGAGACGACAGCAGGGCCAGATTTCACCACTGAGTCAGAAAAGCAGACAGAATGGGAACCAGCCTACACCCCAGTGGGTACATCCCCGCTGCCAGGTGGGTATAGCAGGGCTCTGGAGAATGGCCTGAAGCCGTGCACACTAAACTCACACACCTACCTATGATTGAATGCCCGAACAAGGGTGGGAGTCTGATGGGCGGCCTTGAACTCACTGTACACCCCAGGTAGGTCTCCAGCTTGGAATCCTCCTGCCTCAGCCTCCTTAGTAGCCTGGATAACATACAGGTCTGCACAACCAAACCCAGATATAAGCTGTTTTGAAAAATACCCACAAAAATAAGACGGGAGGGGGATGTAACCATATTTAAAATGGCAAGGCTGTTTTTTTTTAATTTATTTATTTATTAAGGATTTCTGCCTCCTCCCCGCCACCGCCTCCCATTTCCCTCCCCCTCCCCCGATCAAGTCCCTCTCCCTCATCAGCTCGAAGAGCAATCAGGGTTCCCTGACCTGTGGGAAGTCCAAGGACCACCCACCTCCATCCAGGTCTAGTAAGGTAGCATCCAAACTGCCTAGGCTCCCCCAAAGCCAGTACGTGCAGTAGGATCAAAAACCCATTGCCATTGTTCTTGAGTTCTCAGTAGTCCTCATTGTCCGCTATGTTCAGCAAGTCCGGTTTTATCCCATGCCTTTTCAGACCCAGGCCAGCTGGCCTTGGTGAATTCCCGATAGAACATCCCCATTGTCTCAGTGTGTGGGTGCACCCCTCGCGGTCCTGAGTTCCTTGCTAGTGCTCCCTCTCCTTCTGCTCCTGATTTGGACCTTGAGATTTCTGTCCGGTGCTCCAATGTGGGTCTCTGTCTCTGTCTCCTTTCATGGGGCAAGGCTGTTTTGATCTTCTCTACTCCTCAGAACCTCTGTACTCATAGGCACCTCAGCTTGGAAATAAAGGCATCTTTATACAGGGCACCCCCTAGCCCTCTTGACCTGGAGATGGGTTCCCCCACTCCAACAACACCATCTTCACTGGGAGGGCTAGGGAAAACACCTTCTAAGCTTAAACACCCTGCTTCTCTATCAACAGAGGGCTGGGTTAGGGACTTGGAATTTGCTTGTTGACCAAGATAGGAGATGCTGAGGATGGTAGCCCAGGGACCACACTGAAAACCATGAGTTAGATATAAGGAATAATATGGAAGCATTTGAGGGGGGTACTTGGTTTTCTTCAGTGGTGGCCCCCACATCCAGTGGGTAGTGTAGATGGTGGCCCTTAGAGTCCCACAAAGCACAGTTCATATAGCCTGTGACCCTGGGGGTGTAGAGGGAGCTTCCCATGTCACTCTCCTCCTTTTAGCTATTCACCTGCTGTTGTGGGATGCTTTACTCTTCTGGCTCTTTGAGGGGCCTGCCACCCAGCTCCAAAATAAATCACATGGAAACTTATTCTTAGTTATGACTGCCTGGCCTTAGCTTGGCTTGTTTCTTGCCAGCTTTTCTTAACTTAAATTATCCTGACTACCTTTTGCCCCTGGGCTTTTATCTTTCTCGTTTTTTTTTTTTTTAAGATTTTTTTTTAAAGATTTTATTTATTAAGTATACAGTGTTCTGCCAGAAGAGGGCACCAGATCCCATTATAGATGGTTGTGAACCTCCATGCGGTTGCTGGGAATTGAACTCAGGACCTCTGGAAGAGCAACCAGTGCTCTTAACCTCTGAGCCATTTCTCCAGCCCCCTTTCTCAGTTTTTGTATACCTTTCTTGACTTCTTTCTCTGCGGCTTGCCGTGTGTAGTTGGATAGCTGGTCCCTGATGTCCTTGTTCTCTTGCTCCCTATTCTTAGTTCTCCTTCTAGTTCTCCTCTCTGTCTGCCAGTCCCTCCTATCCTTGCTCCTGCCCTGCTATTTCCATTCATCTCTTTCTTAGGACCATCACGTGTTTTAGACAAGCTCAGTAACACAGCTCCACAGAGTTAAGTAAATGCAGTGTAAACAAGAGTCACACACCTGAAAATAACATTCCCCAACAACCTACCATTCCTTTTTCCTTCCTTCCCTTTTCCCTCCTTCTCCTGTCTCTTCTTCCTTCATTCCTCCTTCCCCTTTCTACCTCCTTTGCCAGGACACTTAAACATATCCCTTAACGGTCGTCTGGCCTGTGCCTGCACTCTTGGAAGATGTGTTTTGTGGGAGGGAGGCGTTCAGACTCATGTGTGACTTTGAAACGAGAGAAGTTCACCATTTCACACTTCACCTTGGCTGCCTTCTTTCCTACAGGGATCCCTCCCACGTGGCTTCCCACCACCCCAGCTGCAGAGGACCACACTGAAATCCCCTCTGCCACTGAAGAGCCCTCTGCCCCAGGAGTGCCTTCCACCTCCGAAGAGTCATATACAGCATCACCTGCAACGCCACGTGGGACAGAGCTGCCAGGTTCTGGGGAGGCATCAGGGGCACCTGACCTCAGCGGTGACTTCACAGGCAGCGGAGAAGCTTCGGGACACCTTGGCTCCAGTGGGCAGCCATCAGGGACCAGTGAAAGTGGACTTCCCTCTGGTGACCTTGACTCCAGTGGCCTCAGCCCCACAGTGAGCTCAGGCCTGCCAGTAGAAAGTGGGTTGGCCTCAGGGGATGGAGAAGGAGTGGAGTGGTCCCGGACTCCTACAGTTGGCAGGCTGCCCTCTCGAGGGGAGGGCCTAGAAGGTTCTGCCTCTGGAACAGGAGACCTTAGTGGGCTGCCTTCCGGAAGGGAAATGATAGAAGCATCTGCTTCTGGAGCAGAAGATACCAGCGGGCTTCCTTCTAGGGGAGACGGTCTAGAAACTTCCACCTCTGGTGTAGAGGATATCAGTGGGATTCCTACTGGAAGAGAAGGTCTAGAAACATCTGCTTCTGGAGTGGAGGACCTCAGTGGATTTCCTTCTGGACATCCAGAAACAACTACCTCTGGAATAGAGCACATCAGTGTACTTCCTACTGGAGGAGAAGGTCTAGAAACTTCTGCTTCTGGAGTGGGAGATCTGAGTGGACTTCCCTCGGGAGAAGAAAGTCTAGAAACATCTGCTTCCGGTACAGAGGATGTCACCCAGCTTTCTACTGAAAAACAGGGTCTAGAGACTTCTGCCTCTGGAGTGGAGGATGTTAGTGGACTTCTTTCTGGAACAGGAGGTCTAGAGACTTCTGCCTCTGGAGTGGAGGACATCAGTGGACTTCCTTCTGGAACAAGAGGTCTAGAGACTTCTGCCTCTGGAGAGGAGGATATCAGTGGGCTTCATTCTGGAACAGGAGGTCTAGAGACTTCTGCCTCTGGAGTGGAGGACATCAGTGTGCTTCCTACTGGAAGAGAAGGTCTAGAAACTCCTGCCTCTGGAGTAGAGGATGTTCGTGGACTTCCTTCTGGAACAGGAGGTCTAGAGACTTCTGCCTCTGGAGTAGAGGATGTTAGTGGACTTCCTTCTGGAACAGGAGGTCTAGAGACTTCTGCCTCTGGAGTAGAGGATGTTAGTGGACTTCCTTCTGGAACAGGAGGTGTAGAAACTCCTGCCTCTGGAGTAGAGGATGTTAGTGGACTTCCTTCTGGAACAGGAGGTGTAGAAACTTCTGCCTCTGGAGTAGAGGATGTTCATGTGCTCCCTACTGAAGCAGAAGGTCTAGAGACTTCTGCCTCTGGAGTAGAGGACATCAGTGTGCTTCCTACTGAAGCAGAAGATCTAGAAACTTCCATCTCTGGAGGCTATATCAGTGGGATTCCTTCTGGTGGAGATTCTATAGAAACTTCTGCTTCTGGAGTAGAAGGTGTGAGTGGCCTCCCTTCTGGAGGAGACAGTCTAGAAACTTCTGCATCTGGAGTAGAGGATCTTGATCTTTCTACCAGGGAAGGCCTGGAGACTTCTGCCTCAGGAGTAGGTGTTACTGAGCCTCCTTCTGGAAGAGAAAATCTAGATACCTCTGCTTCTGGGGTAGGTGAGGACCTTAGTGGGCTTCCTTCTGGAAAAGAAGGCCTAGAGACCTCAACGTCTGGAATTGAGGACCTTGGTGGGTTGCCTTCTGAAAAAGATTTGGTAGGTTCTGCTTCTGGAGCCCTGGACCTTGACAAGCTACCTTCTGGAACTCTAGGAAGTGGCCAAACTCCAGAAGCAAGTGGCCTTCCCTCTGGATTTAGTGGTGAATATTCTGGAGTGGAAATTGGAAGTGGCCCATCCTCTGGCCTGCCTGACTTCAGTGGACTTCCATCCGGATTCCCAACTGTCTCCCTAGTGGACAGTACCTTAGTGGAAGTGATCACAGCCACCACCGCCAGTGAACTGGAAGGAAGGGGAACCATTGGCATCAGTGGTGCAGGAGAAGTATCAGGGCTGCCCTTCGGTGAGGTGGACAGTAGTGGGGACATTAGTGGTCACCCTTCAGGAACTGAACTCAGTGGCCAAGTATCCGGGTCTCCTGATGTCAGTGGAGAAACATCTGGATTTTTTGATGCTAGTGGACAGCCGTTTGGCTCTCATGGCGTCAGTGAGGGAACATTTGGGATTCTTGAAGTCAGTGGGCAGCCGTCAGGGATCCCTGACACCAGTGGAATGTCTGTAGTGACTGAGCTTAGCGGACTGTCCTCTGGACAACCAGATGTCAGTGGAGAAGGGTCTGAAGCGCTCTTTGGCAGTGGCCAGCCCTCTGGCATACCTTTTGTGAGTGGAGAAACCTCTGGGCTTCCAGATGTCAGTGGGCAGCCCTCAGGGTCTCCAGTGTTCAGCGGAACAACACCCAGTTCCTCCGACCTGGTTTCTGGCACCATGAGTGGCAGTGGGGACTCTTCTGGCATTACATTTGTGGATGCCAGTCTTGTTGAAGTGACGACCCCTACTACGCTTAAAGAAGAAGAGGGCTTAGGATCTGTGGAACTCAGCGGCCTCCCTTCAGGGGAGACGGATCTGTCTGGCACATCTGGGACAGTGGATGTCAGTGGACAGTCTTCTGGAGCAATCGATTCCAGTGGACTCCCATCCTCAGCTCCAGAATTCAGTGGCCTCCCGAGCGGAGTAGCTGAGGTCAGTGGAGAATTCTCCAGAGTTGAGACTGGGAGCAGCTTGCCCTCGGGAGCATATGAGGGCAGTGGACTTGCTTCAGGTTTCCCTACTGTGTCTCTTGTAGACAGAACTTTGGTGGAATCTATAACCCAGGCTCCAACTGCTCAAGAAGCTGGAGAAGGGCCTTCAGGCGTTTTGGAACTCAGTGGTACCCATTCTGGAATACCAGACATGTCAGGGGACCTTTCTGGGTCTTTGGACCTAAGCACACTGCAGTCTGGGCTGGAACCCAGCATGGAGCCCCCAAGCTCTCCATATTTTAGTGGGGACTTTTCTGGCAGCACTGATGTAAGTGGAGAATCCATAGCTAGCACAACTGGCAGTGGGGAAACCTCAGGACTTCCGGAAGTCACTCTAATTATGTCAGAGTTAGTGGAGAGTGTGACAGAAACAACTGTTCCCCAGGAACTTGGCCAGGGGCCTTCTGTGACACATACTCCCGAGCTCTTTGAGGCCAGTGGGGAAGCCTCAGCATCTGAGGACCTTGACGGAGCTGTGACAGACTCCCCTGGGTCTGGGATAGAAGCATCTGTCCCAGAAGCAAGCAGTGAGTCATCAGCTTACCCTGAGGCTGGAGCAGGAGTATCCGCTGCCCCTGAGGCTGGAGCAGGAGTATCCGCTGCCCCTGAGGCTGGAGCAGGAGTATCCACTGCCCCTGAGGCCAGCAGTGAACTGTCTGGGTTCCCAGATCCACACGAAATCACCTCTGCCTTCCCTGCAGCAGATCTGGAGGCCACAACCTCAGGTGCGGAGGCGAGCAGCACCTCATGGACCTTTCAGGAAGGCACCAGGGAGGGGTCTGCTGCTCCGGAAGTGAGTGGAGAATCTCCCACTACCTCCAGTGTAGACACAGACACTTCAGGCATGCCTTCTGCCACTCCCGTGTCTTCGGGAGACAGGACTGAAGTCAGTGGAGAATGGTCTGGTCACACCTCAGAGCTGAACGCCATCATCAGCACCACCCTCCCAGAGTCTGAGGGGGCCCAGCCTACCCAGAGCCCTGCAGAGAGGCATCAAGAAATCGAATCCCCGATCCCCTCATACTCAGGAGAGGAGACCCAAGCAGCAGAAACAAGCATCTCCCTGACAGATGCCCCCAACCCCTCTTCTCCAGAAGGGTCAGGGGAAACAGAGGCAGCTGCTGCAGGTATGTTTGTGGTTGCTTTCCCTTTTACTGTGTTTGGGGTGTGAGCAAGTTTAATCCGGAAGGAGGGGTAGTACCTGTAAAGTTCAAAGATCAGCCAGGCAGTGCCAGAGAATACTCTGCACCCCTCTGAGCCTTATCCATGAAGGAAGAACAGTGCCAGAGAAGATACAGATGTGAGACAAGGATACAAGACCAAGATTCCTGCCACGCTCACAGCAGGAATTTGTGGAGAAGATCGGACTTATTTCCGTTGGGGTTAGCTGGCATTCCTGGGCAGTGGGCTCCACCGACTGTGCTCTGCACAGGGAGAGTGTACCTACTTAGGCAGTGATAGAAATCATCATACCTGTCCCCACGTGAGCATGAGATGACAGAGTAGATCTGCTGGTGGCATTTATGTCCGAATATGTGTTTTAAATGGGGGTAAAGCCGTCACAGTCTAAGGGACTGGGAAGTCTCACTTTGGCTCTGTCCTGACTTTAGACTGTGGCCCTGTCGCACCCCAGTCCCCCAGGACTCCCTGTGCTGTCACCGTACTTCACCTCCTCCCCCTCCCAGGCTCCAAGCTCCAGGAACCCTAGCCTTGGGGACACCTTGTTCCTCCCACCATAGGGACAGTTTTCACCGTCAGATAAAAAGCACCCCACACGTTAGGGCCTGAATGTACAGGAAGGCAGAGTAGCCAGGAGTAAGCTGACTCAAAGCCCTCCTCAAGGATTTGGAGGACCACATCCCCCGGCTGTGAGGGCTCAGAGGCTGTTCTGGTCTCCAGGCAACTGGGTTCTTGATATTCACTCATCCTCTAGGTTCTGTATAGAGGAGCCCTATGGCCCAGGGACTGGAGACATGCGTGCGAACCACTGGCCACACTGGCACACATAGGGAAGCTCTCATTGGCTGTGAGGGTACAGACAGGTACTAGACAGACTGACTCCTGCAGTCTCCAGAGGGGGACTCGTGCAGAAGCTGCCCAAGGTCAGCTGGGAAGAAGAGGTAGTCAGAGACAGGAATAGAAGGCATATGTTAGGACTGGAGAGATGGCTCGGTGGTCAAGAGCACTGGCTACCCTTCCAGAGGACCTGAGTTCAATTCCCAGTACCCACATGGCAGCTCACAACTGTCTGTAACCCCAGCTTCAGGGGATCTGACACCTTTACACATAAAATAAAGTTAAATAAATTATTAAAAAAGAAGAAGAAGGCATACACTAAACACAACTCATCTTTCTGGAACATCTAACTGAGAGATTAAGAGAAAATGTCAAGTTCAGCAATACCCTTGGTGAGTAGTCTTCCATGAAGCCATCAGTTGTCTTGTGAGTAGAATCCAAAAGTATTCTAAAGGTAAAATTAGATTTCTAGGACTGAGGAAATAGTTCAGTCAGTGAAGAACTTGCCATACAATCATGAGGACTTGAGTTCAGATCCCTAGCACCCATGTAAAAACCTGGGTACAGTGGTACCCATCTTACCTCCAGCCCTGGCCAAGGGGGATATCACAAGAGGGTCCCTAGTCTAGCCAAATCGGTAAGTTCCAGGGTCAATGAGAGACCCTTGTCTTAAAAAGTAATTTGATGAGCCATAGAGGAAGACACCATCAGCCTCTGGCTTCTACCACTCAAGTTCATGTATGCATGCACATGTATGCACATACCCACATGAACACATACATACAACACATACACACATATCAAACAAATTAGCAAACAGACTTCAAAGAAATGTTGAACTTGGAGTGAGTATCAGTTGAGCAGACACTCCTCTGCCTTGGTGTAGCATTCCTGATGGGAGCTGTCTCCCATCATAAAAGCAAACCCCACCAGAAGAACTCCTGTAGCCCTCTGGGTTTGGGTGGGATCTAGGTCCTCTTCATGCCCATCAACTTAGAAATTTGCAGCTGTGACCAGTGGCCTCCCATCACCTTAGAGCAGTGGTTCTCACCCTTCCTAATGCTGCGACCCTTTAATACAGTGTCTCATGTTGGCGACCCCCCCAAACATAAACTTATTTCATTGCTACTTCATAACTGTAATTTTGCTACTGTTAGGAATTGTAAATCCTTGGGTGACCCCTGTGAAGAATTGTTCGACCCCCCACAAGGGGTCACAACCCACAGGTTGAGAACCACTGTCCTAGCTTCTCTACCTACCTTTTGCCATGGGCCAAGAGTTGGTGAGTGGGCGAGGAAAGTAAGTGGGGATCACCTGATTGGAGGTAGCTCCCCAAAATGAGATTCTCAGATTCCACCTGCCATCATATCCACCTGCCACCATATGGATGCTTCTCATCTTATCTCTTCAACAGCAAGTTCTTCAAACCCACACTCTTGGCTTAAGTCTGTTCCCCAGTGTCCTTGTCCCTGGCCTCTCCCTACTAAGGCAGGGGCTCTCATAAAGGGGCTTTATTCCTGAGACACACTCAAAATGGAGAAATGAATCCTAGGGCAACCTAACTACCTAGGTTTACCTGACGGCCAGGACTCAAGCCACAGCAGCCTTTATATCAAACACAAAAGATTCTGTATGCTTGACACCTCGCTGTTTAGTATACCCTCACATATAGTGAACATGCTTCATACGTGGCTCATACAAGCTAAATATATATGTGTATAAACAGTAGACAGCTGTCTACCCACTCTTCCTCTCACAGAACAGAGAGTGTAGGCTTTTCTTACTGTCCAGAGGACAATATTTCCTTAAGGCCCTAATGACTATGTGGCCAAACCCCTCTATACCTGGTCACCCCATTCTCAGCAACTCCTTCCAACCTGCAAAAGTCACAAGCAAGACTTGTAACCTCAGTTGGGCATAGTGGTGTACAGTTCTAACAGAAAACATTCTGTAATGACTGTCACCTTGCTTAGTCAGTATTCTGTCTATAAACAAGTTCATATAATAATTTATTTATTTTTATTTTATGTTCGTGTTTTGTCTGCATGTACATCTGTGTAAAGATGATGGATCCCCTGGCATTGGAGTTACAGATAGATGTGAGCTGTCATGTAGGTGCTGGGAATTGAACCCTGGTCCTCTAGGAGAGCAGTCAGTGCTGTAATGAGATCTAACATCCTCTTCTGGCCTGCAGGCATATATGCAGGCAGAGCACTGTACACATAAGAAATTTAAAAAAAAACTTTAAAAAAATCAACTTTTAAACTATAGAAGACTTGAAATGTATGGATACTAATAGCCTACTTTTAAATGTAAAGCCCATTCTTCTATAGTGCAAATGGAGACTGATAGATAGACTTCTATCATCCTTCTCTCTTCTGTGTGAGATGCCCAACCAGAAAAGCAAAGTCTAAAAGTATTTATTACGGTCAGAATTCTTTTTTGTCTGTACTTGAGAAATCTCCTACCTTGTCTCCGAAAAGCTATGTCCAGGGCCATCCACTGCGACTATACAGGCTATGCACTGAGTATCTTAAAGAGTGCCATGGGTATCATAGGGGTTTTGTTTGTTGAGTGATAAATCATTCAGTTATCACTTGAGGAAAACCACCAGCTGTCACTCTCCCTTCAGCATTTTCCATGATATATATATATATATATATATATATATATATATATATATATCTTGTTCATTTGGATCATGAACTCTGATTTAGGCCAAACCTAGATGAGACCAACTCAAAGCAGCAGAAGCCTGGCATGTCTGAGTTAGACACCAAAGGATTTGCAAGCCTGTCTCCTTCAGATGTTACTAGGAGTTATTGCCTTTCCCAAGTTAGAGACATTGCTTGGAGGCCTTGCTCAAGAAGCACACAGTGCCCCGCCCCCGCCCAGTGGCCACACACAAGTTCCTGGGAAAGGAAGCCTTACTGGTAACAAGATGGTGACAGTCTAGGAACCAGGGCTCCCTTCACTTGGGGTAGAGACTCAGCTTCCTGTTTTATTTCCTGCCTCCCCTCCATCTCTCTCAATTCGTCTCCTAGCCTTTCCAATGTGGGCAACCCATTTCACTTGTCTCCCTGCCACCAGAGGCCAAATAGTGTCCACACCACCACACTTTGGGAACCCTGTGGAAAAGGGGGATCCACAACATCCAGTCTTACCAGACGTTGGTCCCCTCACTTCCTCTTTTCTTCCATTAAGGCTGCCATCACCCAGAGCCATCCCTCCCGACACCTGCTACTACCTTGTCCAGAAACCCCTAGAAGGTCTCAACTACTTCTCTTAGTCCCAATAACCAGTAGATGTCCAAATACCTGGCACAGAAAGAGTTGTGTAGCCAGGTCCAGAATGGCTCTTGTAAGAAGAGGAAGAGGAAGTAAGGTGCTCACCTCTCCTATTGCTGCAGAGGCTCATTGGCCTCTCTGAAGTACCCGGCACAATACAATTCTCAGGACTGTGGCTCTTCTTCATCTTGGTATCCAGGTCCCTGAAACAGCTCTCTAGCTTCCTACCCTGACCAAACACAGAAGGAAGACAACACAACTTCCTGTATCCTGGGCCAGATGAGAGCCGTCTCTAAGCTTCTGAGACAGCTGGAAGCTACCTGGCCTGGCCTCCACCAGGCCGTTCCTGCCATTTATCTCATGGTCCAGCCAAGGACCCAAGAGTTGATGTCTGGCTCTTTTACCCTAAGGCCACCCAATCCCCGCTCTGTACAACTGCTTTAGCGCCTCCGTTTGCTTAACCCCCCTCGCCCTAGTGCTTCTCATCTCCCATAACGAAGCCAATGGACAAAAGAGAACACCACTAGCTCTCCTATATCAGGAGAGCTACCCCCAGCTTCCACTATGCCCACTGACCTGACCTATTGCTGCTACTGCTGCTGCTGGGAATCCTGGTGCATGCCGGGAAACCAAGTGCATGCCAGGATTTCAGTCAGTCCCTCATGCATTTTGGGGTTGCTGGGAACTGTGAGTTTTCTAATCCATGGCGTGTGCTTCTTGAAACAAAACTAAGAACTTTGTACAAAGAGAAGAGATGCCAAAGATGTGGAGAAGAGGAGCAACATGGGTTGAGCAAGGTACCTGAGAACCATGGATTCTTGGGCCACAGATGGCATAGACTTAGCCAAGACAATTCAGAGCCTGAAGATCCAGAGGCAGGTGCATTGACCATCCCAGCACAGGATTAACATAAAGGTCTAGATTGCTATTATAGGCAGCAAGACTTAAGTTCTTGGATGAGTTTAAGCTCTGCTCTGAAGTCAAAGATCTGCTAATCCCAAGGAGACCATCCATCAGCAGCCCATTGGATCCTGGATCTCAAGTAAACATAATTGCATGTACCAAGAATTAGCCTCTTCCAGGTTGGAGATGTAGCCCAGCTGACAGAGTACATGCCTGGAAAATGTTCAAAGCCCTGGGTTGGATCACCAGCATCACATAAACCTGACAAGATGATGCTCCTACAATTTCAGAACTCAGCAAGTGGAGACTGGAGATTCAGAAGTTCAAGGTCACCCTTCGGAACACATGTTCAAGGCCAGCTCCAAAGTTACCTTATGAAAACAACAATCCGGAGAATTTCAGTTCTCACTTTGTCTAACTGTTGATAAGTTGAGGCAAAGGTCAAGGATTTACAAATTTGAATCTTGCAAAGAATGCTTTGGAGCTGAAAGAGCAGAAGGGAAGAAGAGCAGCTGAGACAGAAGGGTCTGGGCACCTGACTAAAGTTCGGGCTGGTGATGGATCTGCATCTAGCCTCTAACTGAGCATCTAGCCAGCCACTCACTGAGCCAGCTTCCCTTGCTAGCCAGATGGGTACCCATCTAGAACTTACGACTCACTAAAAAAAGAGGCCCACCTTTGGAGGCTTTGAGCTGGAAGGAGGTCGCAGGGGAAATGTTAGGTGGGGTTTTATTCTCTAGCCCACAAGAAGGACTCTGGTTTCATTTTCATAAATACCCTTGAATCTTACTTACTGAAAACAAAGACACTATCTACAACCCTGGAAATCTAATGAGTCTCCTGCAAAAGTCCCATATGGCCATTTCCTTAGGGCTGTATACCCTTCAGACCACTTCTAGATGACTCTTTCTAGAACACGGGTTTGCTCTCCTTTCTTTATCTCACAACTATAGAGGAAGAAGCCAGGAGAAGCAAGACTTCTCACCAAGCTTTAAGAACATCACTTCCAATTTCTTTGCCTACCACTGTGTCCACAGCCAGTTCTGGCCTCCAACTCCTCAAAATATTCATGGGAGAAGGTATCGTGGAGGAGCTCCATTCTCGGCCTTAAAAAAGGCATTTGGCCACAGAAGTACCAGGTCTCTCCAACCTGAAAAACTAGTTCCAAGGCTCTAAGTTTGCCCATCAAGAATCCCAAACATCCAAAGAAAACTGTCGGGATCGTTGGTTCAGCAGTCCAAGATGGCGGCCACAGCAGCAGCAGAGGCAGCAGCAGCAGCAACAGTTCTCAGGAAATCCAGCCAGGCCCCTCCCAGCCTCTGGAGAGCTGCAGGGCTGGCCACTCATACTAAAGCCTTGGTGCTTGTGAATTGCCAGCAGAGGTCCTAATGGTGGCCCTTGGTTTCTTGCAGACATTGATGAGTGCCTCTCAAGCCCTTGTCTGAATGGAGCCACCTGCGTGGATGCCATCGACAATTTCACATGCTTATGCCTTCCCAGCTACGGAGGGGACCTGTGTGAGATCGGTAGGGCCTTCTCGGCTTCAGCTAACGTTACTAACAGCTGCACTCACTCCTCCTTCCTCACCCTCCTCTCTAACCACAGGTTCCAGGTCTGGACTGGAGCCCCCAGATCTGCCCGGAGTGCCATTCTGGGGGACACAGCTGAGAAGTCTGTCCCCCAATTTTCATCGCTTGTTCTTGCTCTTTCCCCTTTGGGAACCCGCCTCTGAAATGTTGGCTGATCTGACCGCAGGAGAGATGTACACTTTGGAAACCGGGGCTCAGGGAGCCGGGCACACACTAACCTTTTCCAGGGCTCGCGGTCTTGCTGATGTGACCACAGAGCTCAGTGCATGGGTCCCCACTAGGACAACACAGCTGATTCTGTGCATCGGTTGAAGAAAAAGGATGAGTAGGAGCAGTGGGCTCTCGCTCTACTGGTGGCCATGGATCTTCTCAGCACGTTCGTGGGCACTGTCTACCTTGCTGTGTTCTCTGTGGGACTTTCATGTCCTTTCCGTGTCCCTGGGGAACCACAACGCTGTGCTAACCGAGCTGTCTTCCTCCTCTTCTCTTGGCATGGGTGGTCTACCTGAGAGGACCATGTCGCCAGTATGCTCCAATCATGCATGAACAGGAACCGTGCATGCCATCCTCTCTCTGTCACACCGTGGCGGCTGCCCTCTGAATGCTACCCTGGCCCACACTCCCTTTCTTGCTCCCTTGTACACAGCAGAAGGCTAGTCCACAGAGCAGTCTCGTTGCAAGGCACAGGAGCTGAGTTTCCTCGCATGGGTCTTGCCAACACCTCTGCTCTGCACCAATGGGCCAGGGGTCCGAGGCAGAACCCAGCTGACCCCCAGCATTCTCACTGATGGTGCATATGGGTTCCTGCCAGCCCCTCGGGTTTCAAGCCTTCCCAACTCAGAAAAAGAGGTTTGAGGCTTCAGGATGCTGGTAGCAATGACTTGTGCAGGACTGGAAGTGTAAACACAGGCTCAGAACCCTTTTCAGTGAACTCTTGTTAGAGAAACTTCCAGAAAGTAGCAGACACTCCTGGGAAATCTCCCCTTGAGTCTGAACAGTGTGGGGAGGTAACAGGAATTGTTCATTCCTTGGCAGCATAGACCAGGGTACATGCTGATGAGGGCACTGAAGGTTTCTGTAGTAAGAGGCTGGGACCTGGGACATTCATCTTCCCTGTGGCCTCCTGCCTTCCCTCATACACCCCCAAGAAGTCAGGTGCATGGGGTCTCAGCTAGGCAGGAATAGAAAGCACAAGGATTTTCCCTCCAGGATGCCACAGAGGAGGAAGGTCTGGAACATCCACACACAACAGCTCGGGAACTCCTCTTGGAAAGGGAGACTGTTGTGACATCCTGATAGACCAGGAAAGTGGTCCCAGAGCCACCCAACTGGGCCTCAGGCCCAAGTGCCCAGCAAGGCAAGGCTCGGTTGCAGCCTGGAATGCAATGTCCCATGGGATCTTATGCCTTGTCTCTGATGTCATCACTTTGTCCCGCCTCTTTAGAAGTCTGTCTTATCCTCACAGCCTCCACTGGCGTGGTCCTCCCCAGCCAGGCCCAGCTCCCACCTTCTCTGAGCCTACCTGCCCAGTTTAGTCCTCAGGTTCTGAAGTGGCCCAGGGCCTGGTACACAGGCCCAGGGATGGTGCCTTTGTCTCAGTGCCAAGCATCCTGAGGCTTCCTTGACCTCTTTCCAGACCTTTATCTCCTCTCTTGTGGAGGGCACCGGTAGCCAGAGGGCCCTCTCCCTCCTGGCTTCTACTCCACTTCTTTCTTCTCTTGGCCTTCCATTCTCCTTCTCTTTACTTCTGAGCCTTGCCAAGCACTCCTTAGCCCAAGGAAGACTCTGTCCCCTCAGGGAAATTCCCTGCCTTTCCTAGACCAGTCAAACCATTGACGCCACCTGGTTGGGAAGCCACCACACATCCTGAGATATCTGTGGCAACTCCCTGGACCCCAGGGTCCTCCCGTCCACACAGAGGCTCTAGGCAGAGAAATGCAAAAGGAAAAATGTAAGCTTCCCTCTGTCCAGAGCTCCATTGACGGTTGTTTAGTTACTGGCTCTCACAGAGGAGAGGGAGTCCTGGCTGGAGGCTTCTTTCCAGCCCTGAGGTACAAACCCTTCCATTCCACCAGGGCCAAGCTACCCTCATCCCCATGCTGCCACCAAAGGCAGTTAGCTCACAATCCCTCCTCCCAGGCTTGATGAGCTGGTTCCAACATGTCTGTGCCCCCCTCCCCCATCCCTGAAGACAATTCCAAAACTTCAAACTAGGCCCCCCTCTAGCACACAGCACCTGCTTCTCCTTTCTTGGCTGTCACTAAAATGTGAGACAAAAATATAAGACAGGGCCCCTGGGTCACAGAACAACCTCTAGTTGGCATGTAGCTCTTTAAGAGGAAGACATGGTGTGTTCTGCTAGAGCCAGCTCAGGGACCTGGGGCAGAAACACTTGTCTAGCATGCAGAAGGCCCTGGCTTCATCCCAGCAATGCATACGATAATTAGAATTAAAGTAATAATAACAACAATGGTAGCCAGCTCAGACCCAAAGGTTAGGGCCCAAAGCTCACTCTTCTTTGGACTCCCAAGAGACTTATTCCTGGGGTCAGGGTGCTACATCAGGGAAAGACAAGATCTCTTTCCAGGTGACATGTCTGTGGAGGCTTCCAAGAGTCAGATGTTACTGGCGTCCTACCCGAGCCTCTGTCTCGCTGGGCCTGTTGCCCCCCTCCAGGGCACAGCCTTTCAGCTGGACTGAACACAGAAGTCCCTGCCACAAGACCAGCAGTGAGCACATACCCCTCTGGCCTTGCCCCCTCTTCACGTCCCTGACCTGTGTTACAGACCAGGAACAGTGCGAGGAGGGATGGACCAAGTTCCAGGGCCACTGTTACCGCCACTTCCCTGACCGTGAGACCTGGGTGGATGCCGAGAGACGGTGTCGAGAGCAGCAGTCCCATCTGAGCAGCATCGTCACGCCGGAGGAACAGGAGTTTGTCAACAGTGAGTGTGGCAGGGGCTAAGGGAAGCAGCGGCAAGAGCAGAGGGCCTTCTGGGTCAGAAATGAGCAGACTGGGGATTGAGGTTGTAGATCGGTGGACAGTGCTTGCCTTGCATGTACAAGGTCCAGCGCTGCAGGAAAGGAGGGGGAAAAAGGAGGGAGGGACATAGGAAAGGGGGTGCAGATTGGATGCATTGCAGGGCAGGGAGCTGAAAGAAGAGGGTCAAATGCTCCCACAGTTCCCTCGGAGAAGGTACAGATCACTGGAAACAGCAGCCCCAGCTGACCCAGGACAGATCCTGCCAGACAAAGATAGCCCAGGCTAACCCTGTAGCTATCACCTGCCCTTGCCAGCCTGAGGAGGTGTCCGAACGTATACCACACACAGGCATGTCCTGAGACCCTGGCAATGTCCTCAGAAGCCAGTGGCAGGCGCCTAGGAGCCACTTGCTTCCTTCTGCCACACTCTTTCCTTTCTGTGAGTTCCAGTCCCCAGACCTCCCAGGGCATCCAACATCAGATGCGAACCTATCTTCCCTTTTCCAGAAAATGCTCAAGACTACCAGTGGATAGGTCTGAATGACAGGACCATCGAAGGGGACTTCCGCTGGTCTGATGGACACTCCCTGGTGAGTTGCCAGAGAATATGAAGTGGGATAAAGACCCCCCAGAACAGCCTGCATTCAAGTCTCCTGCAAACTCACTGAGTATGGGCCTGGCAGTAGGGAACTCTGTAGGAAGGGATTGTATCTCTTTTCTCTCTAACTCTGGAGAGCAGCCTGGGGCTGGGTGGACTCGGTGAGGGAAGTCATGCATGTGAGAAGGAGCCATAAGGAAATGAAAAAAAAAAAAAGAATCAACAGCAAGCCACCATGAAGGGTAGGTGACATTTAAGAGTTTCCTAGTAGAAAAAAGACAAGATTTCCTGGGTATATTGGGAGCATTAGGAACCTTGGTAGAGGATTGAAGGGGATGGGAGAGGCAGGGAGAGGAGCAGAGAAAATTGTAGATCTCAATTTTTAAAAAATCAATAAAAGAATAAATAAAAAAGAAAAACAGAAAGTTTCCTTATGTGCAAAGGTCTAGTGTCTACTCAAGGCATAAAATACAGAGATCAAATGGACAGATGGGCAGTCAGCTACAGGTCAGTGAAGAGGGTCTTGAAAAGGGTCTTACAGGTCAGAAATGAACAGACTGAGGATTGCCCACCAGGAAAGCCTGGATCATTGGGGGTTATGAGCTCCTAGAAGGATCAGAGTCAAGCAATGTAACCAGTTCCCTAACCTGGGACCCATAGCATCTAAGATGATCCTGATCAGATAATCAGATAGATTCCCAGCACCCTTTGCTGCTGCCTTACAACCAAGATGTTGGGTGAAAGAAAAAGAGGAATAGGGGAGGGAACTGATCAGGAAGGAAGTGGGGGTCAAGCTGAGCCACACTGCTTCTGTCTGCCCCTTACTGTTTTGCCTCTCCCGCCCACAGCAATTTGAGAAGTGGCGTCCCAACCAGCCTGACAACTTCTTTGCCACTGGAGAGGACTGTGTTGTGATGATCTGGCATGAGAAGGGCGAATGGAACGATGTCCCCTGCAATTACCAGCTGCCCTTCACATGTAAAAAGGGCACCGGTAAGAAGGGATTGGGAGGTCTCCAGAGGGCAATAAGCCCTTCAGCTGCAAGGGAGCCCCTTGCCTTGTGACCTGGGGGCAGTTCTCTTGTCTCCTGACTGCCGGAGGCTAACAGAGCATCCCCAAGAAGCTTGTGGGTGCTGATGCGAGGGCCTCTCTCGGCACCAGCATCACAGAGCCAATGGCAAGAACAGGTTGACTCCTGGAAACCTTTCACAGAGACAAAGAGAGGGTGACAGGGGCTAGAGGATAGGATCCTCAACTCCATGCATACCACAGTCCCTCCGATGTCAGCGACAGAAAGTCATCCATAACCGCCCCTGGGTGGACTATCCATTCTTTGGGGCTCCAAAATATGCTAGTCACAGAATCAGAGTTGCTAGGCCTGGAGTCTTCAACTTTAAGGCGCGTGGGTACCACAATGCTTAAAGGGGCCCAGCTTCCTGCTCCTACCCATGGCCTGTGTCCCCAGAACTCCTTTGGGCCCCACTTTCTGGCTTTGTACATTTTCATAAAGAAGTGAGAGATGTCTCACCTGAAGGTCTCTTTCCCCACCTTAATCCCTCCTTTTTATCCTCTCATCATTGTTCAAAGCAACCTTTCTATTCCCTTTCTGCCTCCCAGTGCCACACAGGAATGTTAGAACTGAATGCCTGCATCTCCCCGCCACCCCCCCTGCTCCCTACCCCACCACACCCAGTAGTCCATGCTCAGCACTAGGAAGAACAGTCTGATCCCTTCCTCATCATGCCTTGGGCTCTGGGCTAACCTTGTCTCTACCTACATGGGCTGTCACAGACGACCTCATGAGACCCCTTCCTAAAAGGCATTTGTCCCTCAGTGGCCTGTGGAGACCCCCCAGTGGTGGAGAACGCCAGGACCCTCGGGCAGAAGAAGGACCGGTATGAGATCAGCTCGCTGGTGCGGTACCAGTGTACAGAGGGCTTTGTCCAGCGTCATGTGCCCACCATCCGGTGCCAGCCCAGTGGGCACTGGGAAGAACCTCGAATCACCTGCACAGACCGTGAGCATTGTCCCCCTTGTCCCTCACCTGGCCCAGAGTCAGACTCCACCAACAGGGCCTTCTCCCTTTCCCCAGAGCATAGTGGTAGCTGGTACTCTCCTGGAGACTCTGTGCCATGCTAGGTGGGGTTAAGCCAGGCAGAGAAGGTATTGGGGGTCTACTCCATTAAAAAAAAATCAGTCCCTTCCACAGGGAAGGTCCTTGTTCCCTGGAAGGAGGTAAGAAACCTGTGGCCGTTTCCTGAGCCTAAGGAAGGTGGATAAAAAATCCAACCCAGGGGAACAGGATGGGGCAGCTTTGGGGTACATTTCTAAGCTCACCATCCACAGGGCGGGCACCTGCAGACGGGGGAGACTAGGAGAGTCTGAGCTCGGCCCTGCTTCTTCCCCGCTCACTGTTAATTCTCCACCTCCCCTTGACTGCAGCCACCACCTACAAGCGCAGGCTACAGAAGCGGAGCTTGAGACCCACACAGAGGAGCCGCCCCAGCAGGGCCCACTGAGAAGAGCTTCCAGGATGTGTCCCCAGGATGCTGAGCCCAGCGGCCATCCAGGCTGACCATGCATCCCAGCCAGATGGTGTCTTCTTCTTGTCGCTTTTTGTCATTAAAGAAGGAAAAATAAAAATACCCCACATTGTGTGTGCCCCGACTCCCCACATCACCCAAGCTACATCTAATTTGTTCTCTCCTCACACCCCCCCCCCAAAAAAATGCCAAAGCAAATTTACTGTAACCCATGGACTGAGTTTAGAGACATTTCTTTGATCTCCCACCGTGCCTTTCCAGGGACCAGTGCAGGGACAGGGTGAGAAGGGATGGGGTTAAATTAAATAAAGAAGGTTATTTTTTTGTTTCCTGACTTTACCCAAGAGAAGTGCAATGGTTGGTTATTTCACCTCCAGGAGAAGCTAGGGAGGCAGGAGGAGAAGCTGGAAGGAGACAGGGCAGGGGCAGGGGGAGTATGGTGGCCTCAGAGCATAAAGGACTCACAAGAGACAGACTACAGCTTAACGCGTTGGACAAAAGGAACCGAGGTCTGTGCCATCGATGAGGAAAGGAGCCTAGGCAGGGGACAGGCTGGCCAAGGGGAAATGAGGTGGCCTTCCCTCTAGAGTCCCTCTTCTACTGACCACCCTAGCAGGTGTCATTCCTCGGCTGGACTAGGTAGGGGCACTTCCTTCCCAGGGGTGCTCCACCGTCCCCTTCCCTCTCCCTACCCCGGGACGGTGCAGGCACCAGTGTTCCGTGCACCTATTTATATTTTTTGAAAACTAAAGATTATGATAATTATAATAATAAAGACATTGGAAGAGATCTATTTCCTTTCTTTTCCGTTTTTAAGAGTTCATTTTATTTCGTAGTTAAGCAGAAGGTGACCGGGATCTGGAACCTCCGCGGGGTCCGTGCTCTGATCCCAAATGGCCCCACCGTGGCATGAGTTCTGGGTGTTCAGTCACTTCTGTTCACCTCATTCTGACCGGAGTGACACTATGTTGGATGGGCCCTCTGCGCCGTGTGTGTGCGTGCCTGTGTGAACACATGTGACCTGTTTGTGTATGGATGCCTGAGTGTACCTGCCCACCTGTGCCATACAGTGGTTTGGAGGGCAGGTTTGCAAGGGGGCACACTGGGAACGTAAGAGATGGTATATGCTGGAACACTCGGGGCTGAGACAGGAGTACTGAAAGTCCAAGGCCAGCCTGGGATCCTGTCCCCAAACAACACAAAAGAATAATTCGAGACACTTGGTGGCATAGCCTGTAATCGCAGCTACTTGAGGGGCAGAGACAGCCTGAGTAAGTTGGTGAGACCCTGACTCACAGTAAAGGGTAAAAGAGGGCTGAGGATGTAGCTCAGTGGGAAAGCACTTGACTAGCAGAAGCAAGGCCCTGGGTTCAACCTTCATTACCAAAATGGGATGATATATCCCCTGGAGGGCTGTGCTAACACACCCCGAGTTTCTGACCCTCTTGCTGGAGTGAGACTGAGGAACCTGGATTTCTAACAAATTCCCAGACTGCTCGTCTGGTGTGAGGGTGTACATCTGTGGCCCCAGCACCAGGAAGGCCATCCTCAACTATACAGAGAGATCAAAACCAAACCAGCACACAGGGGCAGCCCAGGGGAAGACAGAGGACAGAAGTGGACCCCCCCCCCCACACACACACCCTAGGCTGGGATCTAGCCCCCGAGACTGAAGGAGACAAAGGGTCAGACATGGAGGTCGGCTGGAAGGAGGAAGTGAATCATAGCACCATTTATTAGCCAAAGAAGGTACACACACCCAGAGAGTCACACCCAATGGGGGCATGGAAAGGGTACTCTGACTCTGGAACCAGGAGAAGAGGGAAGTTGTCCCTTCCCTAAGCCCTCACCCACAAGTCTAAGGAGCCTGTGCAGAAATTAAAAGAATCAGCACTTAGCTTCTTCCTTCTCTAAGCCAAGGAAAGGGGGCTAGTTGCAGCCACTGCTCATTCTGGGCACCAGTTTCCTCGGGTTAGGTATGCCAGCTGTACCAGAACGTGGCAGAGCCTTTTAAAGGTCAGTGGACCTCAAATGTCCCAGAAAGGGATGCCAAGAAAATTGAGAGTTGGATCTGAAAAAAAAAAATCTTTAAAAAAAAAAATGTCTAAATTGCCAAGTGGTGGTAGCACACACCTTTAATCCCAGCACTTGGGAGGCAGAGGCAGGCAGATCTCAGTGAGTTTGAGGCCAGCCTGGCCTACAAAGTGAGTTCCAGGACAGCTAGGACTGTTACACAGAGAAACCCTGTCTCGAGAAGCAAAACAAAACAATATGTTTAAGTTGGAAAATATAAAAATAATACGAGCAATGCCCCAACTCCCAAAAGGCAAGGTGGACCCTTGTGTCAGGAAGTCGGGGGGGGGGGGGGGGGGCGGGATGAACGCACAGCTGGCCACTCTGCTAACGCTGGCGGTAACAGTAGACACCATAGCGGGCATGTGGGTCTGGGAAGCCGAATGTCCGTACTCCTGGCTCGGGGGGCCCACAGTTGGGGCGTGGGTGAACTATGGGGTAGCGGGCACTTCCATCCGCCAGCCAGCCAGCATCACAGCGATCCAGGCCACGGAACTTCCAAGCAGCAAAGAGCTGGCCCACTGTAGCGATCTGTGTGCCGTCTTCCAGGCAGGCCTCCCTGGCCTCCTGCAGTGTTAACTTCTCAGGGTGCTCCAGGTAGTACACCCACCCTGTGGGAAAGCGAGGCGCTTGAGTGCTATTCAGCAGAGGAGGCGGCAGTGCCTGCCACAGGCAGGGAGGAATTGCTCTATGAGGGTCTTTATTGGACACTTTGGGGAGGGGCACCTTTCTGGTCCTCATCCCGTCATTTCTGTACTCCCCAGCTGCATTCTGAGTGGGCACCTACCTAGACTGGACTAGCCGCTTACCCTATGAGCATCTATACATGCCAGCAGACACTTTTAAGTAGCTGAGGATGACCTTCAACTTGAACTTCTGATCCTCCTGCCTCCCCCTCCCAAGTGCTGAGATTACACTACAATGCCCAGCTCAAGAGGTGCTGGGGATGGAAGCCATGCCTTGTCCACTAGGCAAGAACTCTACAACCGAGCTGCATCCCAGCCCTGCTGGACACGTCTAAGTATTTCTGATATGGTAACACATTTCTGTTTTCATTTATCTGTCAATGAATCATAAGCCTGGTGTTTAGGGAAAGACATGGTTTGTCTGTGCTGATCCGAGGCGCAGTACATGATAGACACTCAGAAGATGTCTGATAAATGAATAACCAGAGGCAGCCATGAAGCAAGAGCAAAGTGATAAGAACTGGTAAGGACATTGCCTCCAGAACTGCCAATGTTTCAGACCTAGGGCCAAGAGGCAGGCAGAGAAGGGCAGAGGGTTCTGGAAGCATCAAATGGGCGGGTCTGTGCCGGGCCATCCCACTCACCCTTGAGGGCAGCAGCGAAGCAGAACACATCATAGCGGTGCAGGCGGCGGTGACGCTGGCCATAGCTGCGAACACCCGGCGCCAAGCCGAGGCCTCCGCAAGGCTGCCGGGGCAGCACTATAGGGTACTGGACAGAGGCGTCCTGCAGCCAGCCGGCATTGCACCAGTCCAGGCCCTCCTCCCAGGCACGGAAGAGCTGCTCAGAGGAAGCCACCACAGCGTCCTGCTCCCGGCAGGCCTGTTGGGCCTCGTGGAAGTTGAGCTGGTAGTGCCCTTCGGGAGACTGGTAGGGAAAAACCACGCCTAGAAAGGAAGGAAGGGCTCAGAGGGGTCAGAAGAAGGAGGCCCAAGCTCCCCACTCCAGTGATGAACAGTGCTGTGGAAGTGTCAGCTGAATAAACCCTTTCCTCCCCAACTCATTTTTTGGTCAAGGTGCTCCATTGCAGCAATAGAAACCCCAAGATAAGGACAGAGTGTTGTTGTGTAACCCAAGCTGGCCACAAACTTGCAATCCTCCTGCTTCAACTTGAAGCACTGAGATCCAAAACACACGGATGCGGCTGCACACCTTCTGTCCAAGTACTAAGTACTAAGTACCAAGCCAGACTTCTTAATGCAGAAATTTCTTATCCCCTGGGTTCTTATCCCCAACACACACACACACACACAAATTTCATACTTAAATATAAAAACCTAACAGCAATAAGCCTGCATTCTGAATTGGCATCCTAACTAGTCTGAATTAAATGGCTCCTTTACAAAGGATGGGGTTCAGCAGTGTGCCCCAGGCTCTACCAGTCCCTACTGTCATCCACTGGCCCTGCTTTATTCCTCTGTCTTGCTGACTAACCCTGCAAGAACCTCGGTTCTGGCTCCCATTTCCCTCTTTCCGAACAGGACTGAATGGGAAGGAACAGGTGTCAGTGGCTTCTGGAAGTTGCTCCCTGGGTTCGAACACCGTGTCTGCACCTATCAGCGATAGATCTAACCTTACATAAGGTAATTGATCTCTCTTAGTTCCCTCATCTGGAAAACAAGAGCCATGATACTATCATTTCCTTTTAGGGTTGTTTTGAGACTTAGACGTGCTTACCTGCGTAGAGTATAAAGGTCTATGCCTTCTCTGGGTCCTCTCCCCCTCCCTCGGGTCCCAGTGGCATCTGTCAGGGCCTCACCCCGAAGCTCCAGCTCTACCAGGCCACTCTGGTCCTCCAGCCCATCAGTGACCTCGCAGCGGTAGCGCCCAGAGTCCTCCAACCGCAGGTCCCTGAGCTCCAGCGAGACTTCCTGCTGTGTGTCCTGCCGCAGCTGTACTCGCCCTTGGTAGTCCCCGAAGGAGCGGTGCCTCGGCCCGATAGCCACCAGCACATCCTGCTCCGGGGACCCGTTCTCTGACGACCTCCACCACTTCACACGCACATGTCTCGGGGACGCCAGGGCCGGCTCATAGTGGTAGTGGCAGGGCAGGGTCACAGTGGCTCCCCGGTGACTGAACAGGGACTCCTCAGTTGTCTCCACCACCAGCTTTACTCCATTGAAAAGGCCTGGGGGAAGGTGGGTCACAGATGCGACAATGGTCTCGCAAGGACCACCCATTCCCTCATCCCAAGACCCTCCAGACTTGCCTGTTGCAAAAAGAGCCCCTCTGCCCCACCCCTCCAAGTACCTGCTGCTCTTCTATTCCACATACCCACTAAACAGATCTTGTACCTACTTCCACTGAGTTGTGTGTGACCTGAGACCAGCATGGGCTACATGCGGTGAAACTCTCTCAAAAAAAGGAGAGAGGTACCCTCAGTTCCTTGAATTTGTGCTGGCCTTGCCATCTGTGTGCTGCTTGGTGAGAGGTGGAAATGATTGTCCCACTACGTGTCACTATATGGCCCGTTCTAAGGCTCACACAAAAGCGCCGAGCCACAGGGCTCAATTAATGGGTGTATCGTTAAGCAGCCATGTTTGGGGCAGTTTTTTCTGCACCAAAAGCAAATTGACGAGTGTTGGGACCATTTGGAGTCCTGGCCTCCAGCTGTTCTTCCCTGCTAGAGATCTTTACTTTCCTTCTGATTTGAGTTACTGAAAGCTGTGTCAAAGTTGTTTACCAGCTCTGCTTCATGAGCACGGGTTGCCTTGCCTTGAGAATCAGAGGATGAGGTTTTCACCTGTTGGCCCACCTGACTGTGTTGGGTATATAAGCCTCTGTGGTGTTATTGAATATAGGGCTTCTTACCAGTGACTAGGGGTCCATGTTCTTGTCTCTCTGACTCTGTCTGTGTGTGTCTTTGTGTGTTTCAACCTCCAGCCCCTCGCTCAAAGCTCGCAAACTGTATGGTAGTGCGCAGAGCACAGACAGGCGGTGTGTGCTGGCTGCAACAAGCTAAGCATGGTGGCTCCTGCCTGTGATCACAGCTCTTGGGAGGGGGAGGCCGGAGAGTCAAGACCTCAAGGCTTTCTTCAGCTACACAGAAACTTGGAGACCAGCATAGGATGCTTGGGGCGTGGCTCAGTTAGAAGAGTGTTTGTTTAACACGCACAAGCCCTGGGTTTAGTCCCCAACTGTGCATCAAAACAGTTGTAAAAGTGTACCTGTAATCCTAGCACTCCAGGGACAGGGTCAATTGGATCAAAAGTTCATGGCCATCCCTAGCTATATATCAAGTTTGATGGCAGCAAAGGCTGCTTGAAGCCATCTCAAAAAAAGAAAGAAATGGAAGGAAGAAAAAAAGAAAAAGGATGCAAACAACCCTAAAGAAATTGATTTTGGCCGGGTTGTGGTGGCACACACCTTTAATCCTAGCACTCAGGAGGCAGAGGCAGGCGGATCTCTGTGAGTTCGAGGCCAGCCTGGTCTACAAGAACTAGTTCCAAAAAAAAAAAAAAAACTAGTTCCAAAGCTACAGAGAAACCCTGTCTCGAAACACCAAAAAAAAAAAAAAAAAAGAAAAAAGAAAAATTGATTTTGAACACTAGCTGCTATGATAGCCAACAAGAAGTTTGCCTCAAGTGTTCCTACGTCCCCTTCATTCCACTGTGGCCTCCAAAGAGCACAGCACACCCTCTTTTTCACAGTCTGGGCCAACTGTCGACCAGGGCTCCTCCAAAAGACCCAGCTATCCCAACCAAGGCAGGAGACGGTCAGAGCTCCCTAATCAACAGAACTAGACTGACAAGATGGAGCTCACTGCAGGAAACCGGTGACTGCAATCTCAAAGTCCCCTGCCTGAGGTCACCCAGCACGAAAGAGGTACAACTGATATTCAGGCTCACATCTCTGGGATTCCAAAGTCTCTTCTGCAGGGATCCCAGGGGTAGTGGCACTTGGGCTGGATCTTAAAGACCTAGCTCTATTCTAGGAATGAGGGCCAGCCCAAGAGAACTTGGTCCCATGTCTATGGTATCAGCAAACTCAGGGTGTTTAAATCATGTCCTCTCATCTTAGAAGCAAGGCCAATCTACCCTTGGAGGCCCAGACTGGGAAGATCCTCCTGTCTGTATCCCAGCCTGAAACCTGTATATGACAGCAGGAGCAAGGAGACAGACCTTCCCCGTAGCCATCGCTCAGGGTCCTGCCATGCGGGCCATGGGAATAGTAGAAGCCATTGTAGAATGGCAGTCCTGAGACGCAGGAAAGTGACAGCAGCAAGGCAAGGGACAGCAGGCCCATCTTGGCCAGGATGGTGGCAGCGCCTAGGTGTCTTGGATGAGGTTTAGCCCACGGGCAACTGCAGAGAGAAAGAAAACAAGCCAATTACAGAAGCCCACGACAGGGGTCTGGAGCTCCTCCATTGGCACCCTCTAACACACTCGCTCAACCAGCGCATCTCAGAACAGCTCCTTGGGCCAGGGGCAGGCGGCAAGAACACGCTAGAGGAGGTGTCCCCTCCGTAGGGGAGAAATGCATCCACGGGCAACAGGCACTGAGAACTCCCAAGCAGTTTGAGTTTCAAAGGCTGTAAACAGAGGAGACCAGAATAGAGCATTCCAGGGTGGGTTTCGTAGTTAGTAAAAGTAAGTCTGGACCACCATGGAACTTGTTTCAACACACAAGTGTCTGTGTGGGGAGGACAGTGACAATGTGGCATTTTTGTGTGTGTGTGTGTTTCGAGACAGGGTTTCTCTGTGGCTTTGGAGCCTGTCCTGGAACTAGCTCTGTAGACCAGGCTGGTCTCGAACTCAGAGATCCACCTGCCTCTGTCTCCCGAGTGCTGGGATTAAAGGTGTGCGCCACCACCGCCCGGCTGTGGCATTTATTTTTAAGATGAAAGCAAGGTCAAAAAGCGTTTGAGGAGTAAGATGGCTCAGTGGTAAAGATGCTGCCTGCACAACTTGAGTTCAACCGCTGGAAAAGAACCAACTCCATAATGTTGTCTAGCCTTAATGTGTGCACTGTGGTGTGTGTATGTACACACACACACATTTATAAATATCCTTTTACAAAGTGAGTTTTGCCGGACGGTGGTGGTGCACGCCTTTAATCCTATCACTTGGGAGGCAGAGGCAGGTGGATCTCTGAGTTCGAGGCCAGCCTGGTCTACAGAGCTAGTTCCAGGACAGGCTCCAAAGCTACAGAGAAAAAGACGAAAAAATAAACTAAAAGTGATTTTTTTTTTGGGTGGGGTGGGGTGTTATTTTAAAGAGAGTTTCATGTAGTAAGCTCGCCACAGAGAATGGTCTTGAACTCTTGATCTAACTGCTTCTACCTCAAAAACTCTCAGCAGTCAAAGTATGATATTTTAATATATTTTAAAAAACAAAATGAACAAACTGTATCCGACAGGCCAGCTGCCTCCTGAGTGCGTACTGTTGGGGAATATTATTTTCAGGCGTGTTACTTCTGTTTATGTTGCATTTGTTTAACTCTGTGAAGCTGTGATTCTTTGCCTGTCTAAAACACGTGATGATCTAATAAAGCGCTGAATGGCCAATAGCGAGGTAGGAGCCAGGAGAGGCGGGGCTGGCAGGCAGAGAGGATAAATAGCAGAGGAAGAGCAGCAGCAAGAGAAGGAGGAGCAACGAGAGAGCCGGGGAGAGGACATCAGGGGTCTGTCATCTAACCACCCAGCCAGTCACGGGGAAAGAAGTAGAGAAAAATACAGAGAAATAAGAAAGATAAAAGCCCAGAGGGAAAAGTAGTCAGGATAATATAAGTTAAGAAAAGCTGACAAGAAACAGCCCAAGCTAAGGTCAGGCATTTATAATCAAGAAAAGCCTCTGTGTGAGATTTATTTGGGAGCTTGGTGGTGGGCCCCCAAAAGGACAAAAGAGTAAAACATCCCACAACAACTTCCCAACATGGGAATGGCCCCCCAAATTGCTATTTGTGCACACCTATAATCCCAGCACTGAGGAGGTGGAAGCAGGAGGCTCAAGCGTTCAAGGCCATCCTAGAACACTTGAAATTTGAGGCCAGCCTGGGCTACAAAAGACCCTGTCTAAAGATGGGAATACCTAGACAGGTCCTCATAGGGCACGGTACCACAAGGTGCAGAGGCCAGGGACAGGCATGAGGGATGCTCTCCACTTGTTTCCATGTGTCCCCAGGTCCACTGTCACCATAGATCCATCCCTGTGGGTCACTCGTCACAACCCAGCCTTCTGACTTTCAGCTGGGTTTAGTCAGCTGGAAGCACTAACAAGATGCAGAAGACAGTAGTCCCCACCCTCCCTCGTGACTGCAGCAGCGATCACAGCCTTGGGGCAGCCTTCTACTTCTCTGTTTTATCTCTATCACCCGTAGCTCTCTAGAAGCGATCCCTTGATTAAAATCTCCTTGCTGCAACCATCTGGACTGAACTCTGCTTCCTGCCCAGTCCCTGACTGACATGGGAGAAGGAGGGGAGTGAGCGGTCAGCAAGGACTCTGTCTGAACGCCTTGGGAGGAGGGGAACCTGGATACCCACTCTCTGATAATTGAAAGCCAGATGAGCTCCTGGCTCAGACTCACTTTTTAGAAGCAGGCGGAAGGCAAGTGGGAGGCAGGCTTTGGTGCAGCAAGACCAGGGTGCCCACAGGCCTTTGCAAATAGAACTGTGATTACTGCGGAGGAATGTGGGAAGATGCTCAGGGTATCATTTGTGACAAAGCAAAGCACACAATTGCCACAATGATTACAAACATGTGGCCTTATGAGGATGCCTGTGTACAAGACCGGAGGAGGCAAGGGCAAAGGAAGGGAGGGAGAGAGAGAGAAAGGAAGAGAGTGGGGAGAAAGGGAAAAGAAAAGAGGGCGAGAATGCAGAACAGATACTGGCCTGTGAGGGTGACCAGACTCTGGAGGGAACATTCTTGTTTGCAGAACAATTAGTTCTTGCTGGAAAGGGGAATGGATGCAGAGGGAACCGAAGTTTGAATTCACTCTCTTCCTAGATGTATTTGCAGAAACTCTGAGGTCTAAACTAAGTTACTGTGCTAGGTACCAGAGCCGGGACAGCCTTGGTGACGCCGGTCAGGAACCAGGAGATCCCTGTTCAAAACCATCTCCACGGCAGCCATCCCTCAATATTCGTGGGCAGCGTTCCACAGGATCCTCATGGGTCCCACTAGCCAAGACACTCTGACATAAAGTGGCACCACATTGCCTTGTCCCCTCTCCATATTCTCCTGTACCCTGCCACGCATCTCTAGGCCTCTTCTAATTCTGTATAGTAACTGTTATAGTGTGTTGTTCAGGGGCTAACGACAAAGGAATATCTATCTTTTGTCTGCCCGACTAACAACCATCTGTGGTTGGTTTTAACGTACTGCTTGCTGCAGCTGCACGGAAGCCTACTGCTCGCCACTGTGTGAGACTGAGCTGTCCACAGCTGTGATGTGGAGATCATGACTCTCGCCTGGTTTATGTCTCCCCAGCAGGTCCTGGTTTGCTCCTACAGTGACAGGATTCTAGATACAGGCCAAACTGCACAGGAACAGAAAAAGCCCGTGTGGTGTCTAAGCCTGTGGTGAGATCTACCAGAGAGGTCATACAGTGATGTTCTTTCTCCAATCCGCTTGTTACACAGCAGCCAAATGCACAGAACAGGGATCCACAGCCCCCTCCAGCATGGACATCCTTTATGGCCCAGGAACAAGCACCCTTGCACTTAAACCCACCCACGCGCTGAGTAGTTGTGAACATAGCTCAGTCTCGCTGTGTTGAGGTCCTCCCTCACTTCACACTGTCACAATTCAAGTGCGACATGACCTCATAAGCTGTGCATATAAATTCTTGGTCCCCGTCGGGTGGTGATGTTTTAGGAGGTTGCAGAATGCAGTCCAAACACAAAATCGTAAAATTTTCCTGGAAGCATTATGAAACTTGGGGATTTGTTGTATCACGCGTGTGCAGTTTTCCTTGGAGACCAGAGGAAGTGTGAGATCTCCGACAGTTGGAGTTACAGGCGGTGGTGAACCACCCAACATGAGTGCTAGGAACTGAACTCAGGACCTCTAGAAGAACAGAAAGTGCTCTTGGTGGCTGAGCCCTCTCTCTCACCCTGTACCTTTTTGTTTTTTAAATGTGATTGCATGGTTCTCAAACATGAACTGTACAGATGGCCATGTAATATCTCAGGGTCAAAAGGGTTAGACACACCTGTGCAGGTCTTAGAGGGAGGAAGTGCGATTGTGGAGCGTGAGCGCTGGGGACTCGATCCAAGGCCTCATGCATGCTAAGCTAGCATGCTCTCCCAAGCGAGCTATGTCCCCAGTGCAGTGTTCCTGCTTTACGAAGAAGAAAGTCAATGCAAAGACCGCCCAAGGTCACCCTGCTTGGACGGTCAGTTGGAATTTGAACCCCAACCAGCTCCAAAGCCTGGAGTCACCATGCAAATTGCAATGAGAAGATTGTGGGGAGCACACAAGTACCTGCTGTAGACATCTCCCCTAAAACTCATTTCCTTTTCCTTCCATTAGACTTCAACTTGGAAATCAAGAGGGAAACAGGCTGAAGCATCAGCGGCTTGTGAATATAGATTAAAGCTGGGTGGCCCAGAGCCACCTCCCCGCAGACCACCCTGGCCTCTTAGAGCTGAGACCAGTGCTCCCAGGTAGGAAGTCAGCCTGCAGGTGCTGGTGCTTCTGCCACACAGCGTCCTTTGTATCCTTAAAAAAAATGTGCATTGTTGCAAAATTATACACTAAAAAATTACAGGGTTAGAGGAAAATAGAGCGTGAGACTTCAGCACCCCAGTGCTAAAAGGAACAAAGGCAGTCCTGGTCAAAACCACCCACAAACAGGGCCTGATACCACACACCTGTAATCCCACTCCTAGGGAGGAGAGGGAGTTCCTGGCCGGCCCCAGGCTACACGGAGAAAGCCTGTCTTTCCAAACAAGCAAAGCCAGGAATGGAGATGCAGGCTTACAATGGGAGGTGGAGGCCAGGAGGATCAGGAGTTCAAGCTCATCCTCAGCTCCATAGCACACAGTTTCAGGCAATCCTGAACGACACCGCATCTGGTCTTGAGAGATAAAGCAAAGCAAGAACCACACATTCTCTACCGACTCAGGGACAGAGGGCAGGTCCTCCTTCCATGGAGCAAGAGTTTCCTCTTTGTTGATGTAACGCCTCGGAGTGCACTAACATGGCGAAGAGCCAGTTCGGTTTCCAGCACCCACAGGGTGGCTTACAACTATCTGTAACTCCAGTTCCAGGGAATCCAACACCTTCTTCTGGCACATGGGC